TGTTCCTCCGTCAAGTTCCTCCTAATCCTCCTATACGTGCAAACATATGATATTTGTCCTTCTCTGCCTGACTTAGTTCGCTCAGCATAACACCCTCAAGGTCCATCCATGTTGCTACAATGGCCAGATTTCATTGTTTCTCATTGCCATGTAGTATTCCATGGTATAGATAAACCACATCTTCTTGATCCATTCGTCCGTTGATGGACACTTAGGCTCTTTCCATGTTTTAGCTATTGTGGAGAGTGCTGCTATGAACATTGGGGTACATGTGAAACCATAGCAGACTCTTTTTTTTTTTTTTTACAAATAGTTTATTGTCAAATTAGTTTCCACATAACACTCAGTGCTCATCCCCAAAGTGCCCTCCTCCATGCCCATAGATTTTGCAGATTATTAAATGGCTACCTACTCACTGTGAATCAGCCCCCCAACATTAAACTTCTTTATTCAAACAGGATAAAGGTTTTTTTTTAAGAAACAAATTTTATTTTCTGCACTGATATTTATACAACTGTAAACTCAAGAAATCATCCAATACTTGTAAAAATCTGGGGGGCGGGAACAGTTAATAAGCACCTTCAGTGGTTTCCACAGTTTAAGAATTTACCATTTGAAAACTTTTAGGATGAATCTAGTAAAATGAATAAAACAGTTATAAAAATTATACAAAATGATGACGAACATTTGATATAGAGGGCTTGATATGGAATGATAAATATAAAAAGGCAAAACTGATCCATGGGGCTGGGCTGGATAAAAGACCCACATGTTCCCCAAACGGCGTGATTCTCAGGACTGCATTTGGCTCTCAGAAGGAACGCCAGTCATTCGGGGGGCAAGGCTCCTTCCCGGTCCAGGCTCCACCGTGAAGCCATCGCACTTGAGGAGAAAGTGAGGAGGGGTACGGGTTGTGGGGGGGTGATGAGTGTACTCAGGTTTGCAGATAAGGGGAAGGACCCCTTCCCCAAGGAGAAACACAGGCAAATCCTTCCATCTCCTCAAGAGAAAGGTCCCATTTTCTCTTTGGAGAGTTTTTCTTCTTGCTGTTGTTAAATACCCTCCTCTCTCCTTTCCTCTTGGGTTTTCCACTCCTGCTCCTGATCAACCGCTTTGTGACACTTTCCGCTGAGCCTTCTCCACTCCCTTACCCCAGTCTTTACTGACTCCATCTCCTTATGCCTCACTTTCAATCCAAAATTCCTATTGTTTTGCATCTCTGGGCAACAGCTGATAAAAAGCTGCTCGCACGGCCAGGATATGTTTCCAAACAGACTGTAGAAACATACATGTGACATCTCGTGGTGGTCCCTTTAATTACACCAGTGAGCAATAAAGGGTCAGGAGTACAAATACTCACTCTGGGTCAGGAGTATAAATACTCACTCTGGCCCTCTTAGATGGGAACACAGCCAGCAAGGGCCATGAACAGAGGGGAAAACAAAGGAGACACGGCTCGTGCTGACTGTAGATTGGCTCTTACCAGTGGAGGTGGGAGATGAAGACCTACAGACGGGTCATCCCCGGTCCCAGCCCCAGCTAAGCCTGAAGTGGGCAGGCTGGGCCTGGGTGCCTGCAGTGGGGCCATGTTGCTCAAGGGAGCAGATGTTCAGATCCAGGTGCTTTGGGCAAAGTGGAACAGTTCGGTAACCACTGGTGTAATTTAAGGCACATCCAAAGAATCTACGTCCTCAAAACCCGACTCTACACGTTGAAATTCCTACCACTGGGCACTCCCTTGATTGAAGGCTTTGCCTACCTCCCCAGGGCTACTGCCGAAATGCCAGTAACGTATCTGGAAGGGACTGCTCATGATCATCCCTGTGTATCCACGTGGCCTGAAGACACGGTGGGTTTTGAACAAAATGGCAGGGCTTGCTCACTATAGCAGGGGCCTTGGGCAGGATGCAGGTGGTACAGGAGTAGAAAGCCAGGAGTGTAGGGAGGGAAATCAGAGCACCAAGAGAAAAATGAGTGGGAGGGTTAACTCCCTCCTTCAGTCACAGCCTGGCCCAGGCGGCCCTGGCTGGCGTGTCGGGGAGTTACAAGATGGTGGGCAACTCAGAGTGAGGCTGAGCTTATGAGGCCACAGGGGAGGGGCCGGCTCATGCCTGGGCAGGCCCTGCCCATCACTGGGGGGATAAACTGGGCACAGTTTCCAGAGCACTGGGGTGGGCACATAATCCTCACTCGGGGGCTGTGTCTGTTCATCTGAGGGTTGGAGTCAGGGGGTTTTCTGTCTTTGCATAGGGAGAAGGGGCTTTCCCATTCCAGAACCCCGGGGCATATGTTTTGGGGAACAGAGGGGAACGCTGTCGGGGCTCCGGCTGGGTAGGACCTGGGCCTGGTGGCCACCAGGTCGGACAGTTTTCAGTCTGGACCCTTTCAAGTAGGGTGATGCTGAGTACCTGCCGAGGGAATGAGGCCTTCTTGTCTTCATTTCCGCTCGATGCAGTCAACTCCCTGGGTGTTATCAGGGCAACGGCAGGACCTGCTTCCGGGGGTAGCCAGGCAGAGGTGGGTGCAGCCACCGTTGTTCACCGAGCAGTAGTTGTGACCTGGAAAAGGCAGACATCAGTTCAGCAGCCATCTAAGGGAAAAGCCCACGCATCAGTTTTCGGGTTCCAGGAGACTGAGCTTCTGGGTGCTTCTGGAATAGGGAATCCTCACGGTGACGGACTCGCCAGATGGGCAAAAGCAGCGATTCCTGAGTTGGGGACTGTGCGGGTTTACCATGAGAGTTACTGACGGTCTCAGGGAGGGTCTTCCAGCTCTAGTGGTAACGTGGAGCTGGAGTTTTCAAGCACAAAATCCTCTCCGTCTAGCCTGTCCGCTCGACCTCGCGCTAGACCCGGGGAGGTGGGAAGCCAAGGGGGGTGAACGAGGGGAGAGGTCTCCAGGAGGCAGCGCAACAGATCCTGGAGCCAGGGTGCCTGGCTGACCCCCCTGCTGGGGCCACCATGAGCCATGTGACATTGGACAAGTGGCCTCAGTGTCCTTATGTATACAAGGAGCACAAGAATAGTACCTGCCTCGTGGGGATGCTGTGAGGACTAAGTGGAAGACTGAATAAAGAGCACCTGAGTTAACATATGTAAAGGCCTGGCTCACAGTAAGCACCTTGTCCACATCTGCGATTATCATTAGAGGTGTTTACTATTGTGGCTGTTAGGCCAAGCGGACAGACCCTTAAGGCCACAGAGATCGTTCAAATAGGATGTTCCTATTTGGAACCTGAAGACCACCCACTTCCTGACCGAGCCCAAGATTCAATACTTTTCCTCACCCTTGTCCACCATTTCTAGTTTGTTCCCTAATGCTTTCTGCTAACTGATTCGGCTCGCTTATTAAATAATGCAGGCTGCTAATGGAAGGGAGGGCGTCTCACCTGCGAGGTGGTCAGGGTAGGTAGGGGCCCCATAGGCAGTAGGAAGGGTGTGGGCTTGGAGCCTCCGGTCATCCCCAGCCCCTGACCGGGAAGAGCACGGGGGAGTTACCTTGGGGACACTGAGACAGGGCCGTGGTGACGCCATACAGCCGGGTCTGCTTGTGTGGGTGGAACGTATCCGTCTCTTTGGAAATGGCAAGATCTACAGCAACCACGGAATTCCTACAAAACACCGAAGGGCAGAAAGTAGACACACATGATGGCTCCAGCCTTCCGTTTACTGGGCACCCTCTTCTGTGGTTTGGGGGATAAACTGGAGGCCGTGAAGTGACATGCTGGCCTCACCTCCCAGCCATCCTTCCCTCTTCCTGTGGCGGGAACAAGCCTGCATTTCTCTGGCTTCTTTAAAAAAAAAAAAAAAAAAAAAAAAAGGACAGGGGCACCTGGGTGGCTTAGTCGGTTAAGCAGCCAACTTCAGCTCAGGTCATGATCTCGCGGTTCATGGGTTCGAGCCCCGCATCGGGCTCTGTGCTGACAGTTTGTAGCCTGGAACCTGTTTCAGATTCTGTGACTCCCCCTCTCTTTGTCCCTCCTCTGCTCACACTCTCTCAAAAATAAATAAGTGTTTAAAAAATTAAAAAATAAAAAAGGACAAAGTTGAGCTAGCTCTCCCCTCAGCTCTAAATTTCAAGCTGGGAAATCGGCTTTCTCTCCAGATGCCCCCGACCACAGCTGCTGGCTTGGTTGAACCCCTCCTTTTCGCAGGAAGGGCTGGTCAAGAAGGGGCTGTGGGAATATTGCAGTTTAAGGAGAATGAAGTAAGGGTACGGGGTAGGCAGGGAGCCTGCTGGCCAAGTGAGCCTGGGGCAGCTCCTGGGGGAAGAATGGACATGCTCATGAAGTTCAAGTCCACAGACTTGAAGCTGCCCATCCAGGAGCACTGGGATGATAAACAGTCCCTCCTGGCCCCCAGGGTCTCACTCTCCCACACCCTCCCCTCCTGAGGCAGAAGGCGAACGTCTCTGGACACTGGAATGTCAAGCCGAGGCCACAGAGCAAGGGCCCGGCCTCCCAGAGACAGGGTGGTAGCCTCCCCGGCCCCCGCCGCCCCCCAACCCGGTAATGCTCCAGCAGCTGACGTACGTCTTCCAGTCCGTGTAATACAGATGCTTCCCGTAGCTTGTAACAGCGAAAGGGTACTGGAGCCCCTCGAGAACCTTCCGTCTGCTCGGCTGCCCCGGCTTCAGACACTCCACCCGACTGGTGCCTGTGTGGAGCGAAGACAAGCTGTTCAAACAAGAAATGGCCCCATGGTATCAAAATGGGTAACAAGGGCAAGGGTGCCAGAAAGCCAGCCTTACGATGACAGATCCCGGAGGACACACGTGACTTGCCCTTCAACAGCGGAAAGTGGTCTCCTCGCCCTGCCTTGCCGCTCTCACTGGTCAACACCCACCTCCGCTGGGGGACCCATACCTGGTTTCCATGTGGGCTGGGCAGAGGGACCATTCCTTGTCCCGCCCATTCTCATAGCAACTAGGGATAGGGGGTGGGGGGTTGGGAACAAGGATATCTTCCACCTCTCCCTCAAGTCCCTACCCACCCCCCCAAGCCACCCAGACTCTCCCTCCCTGCAGTCAGAGCTACTAACAACTGCTAACCTGCACCTTGAATGCAGCCGAGCACAGCCTCGTATCAGTGTCTGCCTTAGGGACAGCTTCCGGCTTGCATGTTGATTTAATTGTGTGTATGCTTCCCTCCTGAGACACAGTTCCTGCACCCCCAGGGCACCTGGCGTACTGGGAACAGCGCAGGTACTCAACAGACCCTTTGAGGGATGACTGACCTTGCTCCCAAGTGAGCATCCTGCCCCTCCATCCCCTGAGGGACACCCCAGGGCAGGGTCCTTGGGGAACAGATGCACAAGACAGGGACGGAAGTCATGAATTGCATAACAGAGAGATAATAATAGGATGAGAACAATTCCAGGTCTCAGCAAACTTGCTCTCAAAGGGCCAGAGAGTAATTAATTTAGCTTTTGTGGGCCAAGAGGCAAAATCAGGACATCATGGAGGCATTTATGTAACCCTTTAAAACATAAACATTTAAAAATGTAAAACCCAGGGGCGCCTGCGTGGCTCATTCAGTTAAGCATCCAACTCTTGACCTTGGCTCAGGTCAAGATTTCACTGTTCATTAGTTCAAGCCCCATGTCGGGCTCTGTGCTGACAGCGTGGAGTCCACTTGGGATTCTGTCTCTGTCTCTCTCTCTGTCTCCCTCCTCTGCTCATGTGTTCTCTCTCAAAACAATGAATAAATAAAAACCATTTCTAGCACCCGGGTGGTACCAGAACAGACTGGATTTGGCCCATGGGCTACATAGAGTTTGCAGAGCCCTGATTTAGAAGACGAGCACTTGCCCTGGATGCCGTCAAGCCTAGAGAAACAATACATTTCAGAGCAAAGACAGGCAGCTGATTTTGTGTAGGAAAATAAGACAGGTATCTTATTCTTGCTTCCCCTTAACAGATGCCAGCCCACAATGGGTAAGAATAACTGTTTAGGTTAAAAAAAAAAAAGCACTGTTGCAACCCCAGGAGCCAGGCCCGGGGATGGGGATTTCCATTACCTGCGTCCACCCAGCAGAGCTGAGCCGAGTAGGCGTCTAATGTGAGCCCGTTGGGCAAGCCCAAATCATCCTGTACCAGAATCCTCCGGTTCGTGCCGTCCATATAGGAACTTTCGATTTTGGGACTATCTCTGTTCCAATCTGTCCAGTAAAGGTTCCTGCAGGAGGAAAAGGAAAAGAAAGAGGAGAGATAACAAAGATGGACGAGAAATATATTTTTTTAAGTCTTTCTTTCTTTTTTTTCTTTACAAATAGTTTATTGTCAAATTAGTTTCCACATAACACTCGAGAAATATTTTATTTAAAAAAAAAAAAAAAACTTCAAAAGAACCCACGATGAAGACATTAAAACCCAGGATGGCTAAATAGGGTCTGGAGGGGATAAGACAGCTTTTCCTTTGCAGAAATTCCTTGGATTTGGTTCTCAGTTTGAGTTTGGTTGTTCTGTTACTAAGGAATTCACTTCCCTTAAACATAACTGATACAGGGGTGCTTGAGTGGCTCAAGCAGTTGGTTAAGCGTCCGACTTCAGCTCAGGTCATGATCTCATGGTTCGTGGGTTCGAGCCCCACGTCAGGCTCTGTGCTAACAGCTAGCTCAGAGCCTGGAGCCTGCTTCAGATCCTCCCCTGCTCACGTTCTCTCTCTTTCTCAGAAATAAATAAAAAACATTAAAAATTAAAAAAAAAAACAACTGATACAGTGTATCTCCATAAAGCTGGTTAAAAGAACAACACAAAACAAACGCCACACCTGATATCAACAGATGGGGATTCCTACATGCTGTCACTACGCAGTGGGGGGCAGCGGACCCAGGGGCTCAGGCACAGAAGCAGATGCTGATAGAGTTGGTGGTCGAGGTGTCTGCCACCAGGGAGGTGGCCAACCGGCCACAGAACTAGGGGTCTGGTCTCACAGGGAAGGTGTGAGGTGCCAAATGCCTGGTGGGTTAAGATTTAGAACTAACTTTAGGGAAAAAGAAAAAAGAAAAAGAAAAAAAGGAAAAAAGAAAAAGGAAAAAGAAAAAAAAGCATTGACGTGATGACAAAACCCCCAGCAAGGGGTCTCCAAGGTGTCCATGCAGTGGTGGTCTGAGCCCCAGGGGTACATTTATGCTACTTTGACTCCCTTCTGCGGCTGGTACAAGGCAAGTGTCGATCCACATTCACCTCAAATGGAAATACTCAATTTCTGAACTGTGGACTTACAAAATCCCCTTCCTAAAAGACTTAAAAGTAGAACATGGAATCAAATCCAATATCATAGGGAATTGTAATAAATGTTCTGGCATTTCACAGTGCCTATCTGTAAGGCACCCACTGGAGACCTGTTCATCCGGGAACTTATTCATTTCAGGAGAGTAATGCTGGAGTTGAAGCCTAGCATTTGAGAATTATCTAAACGAGCAGTTGCAAATGGAATAGATTTACACAGATTTACACAGATACCCTCTCACGGAATCCGTTACGATGCCTCTGGGATTCACCAAATCAGTCTCAAACAGCACCCGGCGCTGGGTCCCATCCAGCTTTGCAACTTCTATGCGATCCAAGTGAGAATCGGTCCAGAAAATGTTGCGGCCAAGGTGGTCCAGGGCAATGCCTTCTGGGCTTCCAAGATCTAGAATCAAACACGGAATCCTGGGTTTTTAAGGCAAGTTAAGATTAGGTTTTTTGGATTACTCAGTGTTTATTTCCCTCGGTGTTCAATCCTTGCACTTTGGAAGAACAAATGGGAATGTGAAATGCATGTTGCTGTCACTCATTCACTCGGCGGACATCTACTTGTTATGTACCAAGCCCATAATGACACCTAAGTGGTGGACCTGGCTTCCAGGAGCTTGCAAGCAATCTCAATTCAGACTGAGTTGTGGTTTTATGGGAACGTGGAGGAAGACACTAGATGTAACCTGGGGAGACCTGGGAGGGTCTTCTGGGGGAGAGGACACCTCTTAAAGCTGGCTCCTCACGGACCAACAGGGGTTTGTCAGGCAAAGATCCTGGATGAGGGGTTCCAGGGAGCGGACCTGTGTGTAAGTGTAAAAACAAAGACTGGACATGACGTGATTTGGCATGGCTGCAGAGGTTGGGAGAGTGACCAGAGATGAAGTTAGGATGCTGGTGTTAATGAGCTTAGAGTTTATCCTGCAGGCATGGGGTGGGAGTGGGGGGCACATAAATATGCAGCAAATAGATACACCTTATTCATTAGTTATTGGGGGAAAAGGATCATCTCAGAGGAGTAATTACAAGAAATCATAGCTGTTACTACTTCTGCACAAGTATTAGGAGTACAAAGAAGGGGTGTCAGTGATCACAGATAACACCACCAGAAGTCCTTACTAGGTTAAAGTAACTGATTTCCAAGCCAAGGGCTGCCACAGGGTAAGCTGGCTGCAACAGGAATCTTCAGTGCCACCAAACTAATGATTTCCGGACTATAAATGAAAGCAAATTAAACATCAGAACCCCACCAGGGTTTTACTGGTGTCACTGAGGATTCCTTCCCCTCAGCTGATTACAGAACTGAGGGTCACTTAGTATGGCTGGAAGTATAAGCAGGAAGAGGAAGAGGCCAAGGATGAAGCCACTGTACCCGAGGGATCCTGGGTGTGAGGAAATGACCCCCACGCTGTGTTCTTTTATCAGTGTGGAAGCTGTTCAGAACCTCTGCTTTCTCTTATCAGCCTTCACTTAAGACTCCTAATATGACCATGACCCTGGATGCTAGAAACACGAAAGCCCCACCCCCCGGAAAGGACCCCTGCCAGAGGCAGTTTATTAAGAATTAGAAATAGCACTTGAACAAGGTTTTTGTTATCAACCAAAAGTAGAGATTTGTAAAGTATGAAAATATTTCCCACGTCCCTAGAGGTGAAGGGTCAGCGAGCCTGACCTCCAAACACCTCTTCCGACTGTCAGACAAAAGTAGAATAAATCATTCTGGGGCTATATCCAAAATGAGCACATTCTCTGCCAGGGACACCAGCCACTCGGACACAGAGAGAAGAGTGGGGAAGAAAAGACTGTTCAGTGACAGTACTTTACAAGACATGCAGAGGAATCCAGAAACTCCCTGTCGCTCTGGCTCCTTACAAACAGCCCTGGTCCTGACCTCAAACCCAAGAGCAATCAAACCTCCTCCAACCAGGAAAATACTTACTTTATGAATTTTAAGACCAAAGGAAAGGTCTGGAATACCCCGCTCCCCCCTTTACTGTGCAGTCAGGGAAGGAAGGGAAGACAGCAAGGCAATATATATTCCATGCTGCTGATTATGATCTGTCTCCTTTGGTTAGGATGTTTGGTTAGGAAAGAAAGAAAAGCTTAGGATTCAGACTGCATGAAATAGAGAAGAGACAGACACCCCCTCTTCCACTCACTAGGGACGTACCAACCCATACCACGACAAAGATTTAAGTGGAAGTTTCTTTCTCCTTTTAAATATTTAAATGTTTTCAAAATATTTTTTAATGTTTTATTTATTTCTGAGAGTGAGAGAGAGAGAAAGAGAGAGAGAGAGAGAGAGAGAGAGACAGCATGAGCAGGGGAGGGTCAGAGAGAGAGGGAAACACAGAATCCAAAGGAGGCTCCAGGCTCTGAGCTGGCTGTCAGCACAGAGCCCGACGTGGGCTCGAACCCACGAACCGTGAGATCATGACCTGAGCCAAAGTTGGACGCTCAACCGACTGAGCCACCCAGGCGTCCCTAAAAATATTTTTAAATAAATATTTTTATTTTTAAATAAAAGAACACTTATTTCCAGTGATCTTTCTACTACAGAGATCACATTCTACTTTAATTCTGTGTTTTCACAGTGGACTCTTGCCTGGAATGTTTCTTACTGTGCTTAAAGCTTTCTTGGATGATTATCAGTTCCAGAAGCAACAGGAAATAGCAATGGTGACCTATTCCCCATTTCCACTGGGTTTTGAAGTCAAATCACAGATTACAGCAACATTTTTAAGAGAGAGAGAGAGAGAGAGAGGAAGAGGGAGCGACAATGCAAAAAGGCATTTTCAAAATTCTGTTCATTAAACCAAACCATGGAAACTACCAGACATTATTTAAATAGCATGTCAGCTTCCAGAAAAGGAGTCAGGGTCTATGTCCAAAGCTAGAAATACTGAATTCAACCTCAGCTTGGTTCCTGCTGTTCATCTTTTGTGAGGGGGCCAAGTAAGGGAAAAACCTGCCCCACAGACACCATTCCAGAAAATCAATCGTTAGAGAAACATTAAATTGGAAACTGGAAAAGCGACATTCAGCCCCAAGTAAAAAGAAATACCAAATGAGGCTCAGACATTTTGAAACTGTATCTTTGATTTGAGTGTTTTACAGAGGAAACAAAATGATTTTATAGGACAACTATCACTGGCATAACAATGTCTTTCTTTCTTCTTTTATTTTTTTATTTTAGGGAGAGAGAGTGCAAGCAGGGGAGAGGGGCAGAGGGAGAGAAAGAGAGAATTCAAAGCATGCTCCATGAGCAGCACAGAACCTGATCCGGGGCTTGATCCCATGACACAACCCCCCCCCCTCACCTCACTGCCTCAGGAAAATGACCTGAGCCTAAATCAAGAGTTGGCTGCTCAACTGACTGAGCTACCCAGGCACCCCCACAATGTCTTTTGATCAAAAATATTTGCAAGTCAGCTGATGAGTTACTGATTTAGCAATATGTAATATTTGACCTTTTCAGTAAAGGGGAATTTGTATAGGCCCTTGGATTTTGGTTGTAATGGTCTTTAATCTTGATAAAACACATCCACATAAAATAGTCATGACTTGTTGAGTGTAGGCATTACAATAATGCACAGAGTTCTTGACCTAGATCAACCTCTATAAGTTAAGGAATTGAGGTTAAATGCTGAGGTTAAAAGCATGTGCGTCTCATTACCAGTAATGCAACTGAAAATTGAGGAATGTCTGTGGAAGTTCAGCTCGATGTGCTGCACTCCTCTGACACTGGCTGTCTGAACAGGTGCCCGTGGAGGTAAGGTGGAAAAGACATCTCCCCACCACCACCATGATGTCACAGGTTGAAGTGACAACTTTTGACTCGAAAGCTATCTTGGGAATAGACAATTATCAGGGACAATATTTGCCAAGCTTGTAACCCTCCCAACTTGAAGATCATCTGCCTGTTGCCCTTGGGGAAATCCTAATGGAGCATCCCATGGGGCAGAAAGTCTGAGAGTCAAGTCCAGGCTCAACAGCCAGAGGAGAAATGTATACCCAAAGTGGACAGTGGAGTTTGGCCCTTACTGTTCATTAAAACTGGGTACATAAGCTTTTAGAGAAAGGCATGTGCACTTACCTGTTTTAGTTTTATTTGTCTTAGGCCAGCCACAAATCCCAGCTAAGGATTTAATGATAAGTCCTTGGAGGACTTTTCAGAGAAGGCTGGAAAGGGTAGCATTGAGGCCAACGACCTAGTCCCTCTCAAATCATCATAACCTGTATGCAACCATACACCCACCCCTCTGCTCTCCCTCCAAGAGCCCCTGGGGCTGCCAGAAGCCAAACCAAGAAGGAAGAATGGTATTTGCTTGCCCACCTTGTCGAATGATGGTGGTTGGCTCTCCACCATGCAGACTGGCTCTCCCAATGGAAGGCTCACTGATGTCGGTCCAGTAAACCATCTTGTCCACACAGTCGAAGGCCAAGCCAATGATGACTTTATCCTGCAAGTGCAGACCAGCCATAAGAGTGGCCCACTCACTAGCACCTGAGCAACCAGTGATGGTGGGAATCTTCCATGTGCTTACTGGCATCCAGACACATGTTTTTATGAAGGGTCTTCAAGTCTTTAGTCCATTTAAAAATGTTTACTACTGAGTTATAGGAGTTCTTTATATAGTTTAGCTAAAACTCATTTGTCATATACCTGTGTGTGTATGTGTGTGTGTGCGCGTGCTTCCACTCATTATGTAGCTTATTTTTTCACTTTCTTTTGTTATTGTTGTTGTTTTTGGGGGGTTTTTTGGTTCTTTTTTTCTTAATAGTGTTTTTTAAAAAGCACAAGTTTTAAGTATTTGTTAAATTCAACTTATTATTGCTTCTCTTATGGCTAATACTTTTTGTACATCATCTAAGAAATCTTTGCCTAAAGATCATTTTTAAAAAGACAGAAATATTGGAAAGGAAGAGGTAAGACCACTCTAAGACAATTTGACTGTTTCTGTAGAAAATCTCGGGGAATCTATAAAACTATTATAATTACCAATGGAATCCAGCCAGGTTGAAGGGTACAAGGTCAATATAAAATATTGGAAAGGAAAGGGTAAGACCACTCTAAGACAATTTGACTGTTTCTGTAGAAAATCTCGGGGAATCTATAAAACTATTATAATTACCAATGGAATCCAGCCAGGTTGAAGGGTACAAGGTCAATATAAAATATTGGAAAGGAATGGGTAAGATCACTCTAAGACAATTTGATTGTTTCTGTAGAAAATCTCGGGGAATCTATAAAATTATTATAATTACCAATGGAATCCAGCCAGGTTGAAGGATACAAGGTCAATATAAACTGGGATTTCCACATACTAGCACAAAATAAAAACTTTAAGAGAGTAACATTTACAATAACATCCAAAACAAAGTATTTAAGAACAAGTATTTTTAAATGTGCAAGATTCTACACTGAACACTGTAACACATCACAAAGTGAAATTAAAGAAGACTCAAATAAATGAAGAGATAAATTAGTTGAATATAATGTAACATTTAATATTGCTAAGATATCAATTTCTCCTAAATAAAGTTAAAGATTCAATGCCATCTATAGCCAACTCCCTGTAGGCTTTAGTCTTCCCTTTGGTAGAAACTTACAAACTTCCTCCAAAATGTCTATGAAATGCAAGTGAGGCAAAGCACATATATAAAGAGCTCCTACAACTCAGTAATAACAATGACCCAATTACAAAACGGGCAAAGGATATGCATAGACATTTTCCCAAAGAAGACACACAAATGGTCCATAAGTGCGTGAGAAGATACAGATAATCACTTGTTGGAGAAACATGAATCAAAACCACAATAAGACAGCACATCACACATATTAGGATGACTAGTATTAACAATTAGAAAATACTAAGATTTGGCAAGGATTAGAGAAATTGGGATCTTTGTACCACACTGCTGGGAATGTAAAAGGGTGCAACTAAGGAAAACAGCATGGCAAGTTTCTCAAAATATAAAAAAATGTAGGGGCACCTGAGTGGCTTGGTCAGTTAAGCGTTGGACTCCGGTTCAGGTCATGATCCCACGGTTTGTGAGTTCGAGCTCTGCCTCTGTGCTGGCAGCTTGGAGCCTGGAGCCCGCTTCAGATTCTGTGTCTCCCTCTCTCTCTGCCCTTCCCTTGCTCATGCTCTCTCAAAAATGAATAAACGTTAAAAAAATAAATAAATAAAAATAAAAATAAAAAAACCATAAACACAGAATTACCATATGGTTCAAAAATTCCAGGTCTGGTTTATACTCCAAAAAAGTGAAAGCAAGGACTGAAACAGATTATCTGTCCATCCATGTCCACAACAGCATTATTCCCAAATGTCCATCGATGGTTGAATGAGTAACCAGAATGTGGTAAATCTATACAATGAAATACTATCAGCTTAAAAAGGAAGGAAAGTCTGACACAGGCTACAGCATAAATGAACCTTGAGGACATTATGCTAAGTCAAGAAAGCCTCTTACAAAAGGAGAAATACCAGATGATTCCAAATATATGTGGGGCCCAGAGGAGTCAAATCCATAGAGACAGGCAGCAGACTAGTGGCTGCCAGCGGCTAGGGACAGAGGGAGTTACTACTTAACGGGGACCGAGTTACAGTTTGGGGTGATGAAAACAGCTCTGGTGATGGATGGTGGTGACGGTCACACCATCACTGAGAAGTTGTTAAAAATGGTAAAACAGGGACGTGTAGGTGGCTCAGTCGGTTGAGCATCCGGCTTTGGCTCAGGTCATGATCTCACGGTTTGTGAGTTCAAGTCCCGCATCAGGCTCTGTGCTGACAGCTCAGAGCCTGGAGCCTGCTTCAGATTCTGTGTCTCCCTCTCTCTCTGCCCCTCCCCTGCTCTCTCTCTCGAAAAGTAAAGATTAAAAAAAAGTTTTTAAATGGTAAAAATACACAAAACACAAAATAAAAGAACAGCGAGTATCTCTCCTGTGGCCTCAGTGCCCTCCCATCCACCTGCCCCGACCTCCACTTTCTGCTTTTCACAGCCTCCCTTGACATTCAGTCTCTTCCCTTCATCTTGGGTGACAATGACTTTCACAGGGAGCTCAGCCCACTCCCGCTACCTGAGTGTGGGCTCGAAAGGACACAAAGAAAGGATGATGATCACCCCCAGAGGGATTTGTGTGTCAGCGAGGCAATGGGAGAACACAAACGTCACTTACTCGCTTGGCAAGTAGTTTCTGAGTGCCAAGCACTGGCTCCAGAAACACGACTGTGAAACAAATACGTCCATGAAATAGGTGGACGGTTTCTGGTCTGGTGTGCATATACTCCTATCGGGAACAGATGCATCAGATACAGAACATACACACTGATACATAATGCATCAAGCAGTGCTGAGTGGTATGGGGGAGACAAAGCAGGATAAGGAGACAGAGAGCGGTGTGGACAGGGTGGCCAGAGAGGTGAAATGCTAACAGAAACCTGAGTGAGGTGAGGTGGTGTACTGCACAAGGGTCTGAGAGGGAGATGACTCCAGGCAGGTGCAAAGGTCCTGAGGTGGGAATGTGCGTGGTGTGCTGAGGACCAGCCAGAAGGTCAGAGAAGATGAAGCTGGTGAGTGGGAGGGACAGTGGCAAGGAATGGAATGGGGGAGGTGGCCAGAGCACATAGGAAGAACTAGATTTTTTTCTGTGTGAAGGGAGAGCCCATCAGAGGGTTTTGTGCAGAAGAACATGGATCCAGTCAAGGCTAATTAGAAGAGGATTTGAAAAGCCTCTTCACTCCTTCTAGGACCTGAGCTTCCCCCCGGCCCCCACTGCTCCGGGAAGCCTGACCAAATCCCACCGGAAGCCCCCAGGTCTCAAGTCTGGTTTCTTGGCAAGAGGGGGTCAGGATCACAGACGTTAACAGAAGAGCTTTTCAGAAGCCACCAGCCTCTAACAGACAAAAATTCTCCAACTCACAAAATTCATCTTTGATGCTTTGGAAAGTTCTAAGCCAAAGCTGTTATTGCCTTGGGGCAGATATGAAGATCCTGAGGTGACGGTCCACCAAACACAAGCCACTTTTCTAACTGAGCAGGAATGGCAAGGTCAGACCTGGGAGACACACACAAACCAGATCCACAAACTCGTGTGACGCCCCCGCCCAAGGGGTCAGACACCAGTGGTCTCTCAAAGGCCTTCTCGATTCTGTTCCCACCCTCCCAGCTACACAGGCAGCTCGGGGACATGGTGGCCCCCTCTAGAGATGGACACCTGCGGTCACAAAGAATCAATAGGTTCCTGCATCCAGGGGTCAAGCCCCGGTACTGGTCTAACTTCACCTGATTGTTTTCCCGGGTGGCTGAAGCGGAAGCTGTCACCAAGCGCACTGAGCCGGCACTCACCGGGGCGTGAAGCAATGTCTTGGCTTCTGTCTTCTGCATGGTGCTTCCTTCCAGAGGGAGGCGTTCTATCTTCCCGGTCTGAGCAAAGAGTAAGTGGGTCCCAGGTGGCAGAGGGATCACAGCGGTGGGGACGGAGGGTCCTTGGTGAATCGGGGGGGCCACGGTACTCAGACCTAGGTGGCAGGAGATGTCTGTGTGCGGTAGGAATGCACATGCGCGCGCGCACACATACACACACACACACACACTGTCACACCGCCTTCACAGCACCGCAGGGCACACGGCTACTCAATGCCCATGTGTATCTAAAAGCACAAGATGCAGAAAGACCTCAATCAAAGGGCATCTGTGAAGAAGAGAAGGCGGGGCATGGGTCTGACATTAAAGGTCATGCGAAAATGGGGCTTGGACTTCCCCTTAGAAAAAGAAATAATGGAACCATTCATGCCCTGCTTTGGGCATGGGCTGCGTGGACATGGGCCGAGGCAGTGAACCAAAACAGCAGCAAGAACAGCCCCTAGAAAGCCTGCCCGCAGGGTGCTCCCTTCTCACTGGCAGGTGCAAACTTCCCAGTGCTGGAGGGGCTCTCAGGGGCCCCTAGGATCCTGTCCCCCATGGTGGGCGAGTCTCACGAGTCTCACACCCTCCCGAGTGGGAACACGTCCCTCCTGAGCTTCCAAGGACAGAACGATGATCAGGGGCTAATTTGCCCCCAGGTTCCGCCTGGCCTCCTAAACACTGACCCTGATGCCTGGCGTGACAACCCGGCTCCCCGGACGACAGAATGTCCCGACAAACAGGGTGAGGGGCACAGAGTGGGGGTCAGGAAGCCTAGACCCAGCCCTCCACTCCCTTGCTGTGTGGCTGAGTCATGGATCTTCCTGGGCTTTGTCTCCTGCTCTCTGAAGAGAGAGAGCTGGACCCGGTCGTCACTGGGGCCATTTCCACGTCTTGCCCATTGTACCCAGGTAGTGACATAAACCAATCTGGCTGACCTCTTCACAGTCTCTGGAATCCATCCCTCCTTTCCAAATTCACTGCCAGCCCCTCAGGTCTTTCCCTGGAGGCTTCTCACCTGGATTAGTTTTAAGCACTGGGACAGACTCTCCATTCCCCACCCGAGAGCCTCTATCTATCTCGGTTTCCACGGTCCAGGCAGCAACACTTCTAAAACCCAAACCCGGTCACGTCGATGCTTGCTCAAGATCCTCCCTCGGCTCCCAGCTGCCATCGTGATCAACCTCAGGCTCCTCTGCACCTGAGGCCTTCACCTCAACTCCCCCCCAGAGGACAGACACCCCTGCAATGTCTCTGAGTGCTAAGCCTACTCCTGCTGCCGGGAATCGGCTTCTCACTGCCAGCTTCCCAAGAGCTGCTATCTTTATCCCTGCTCAATAACTTGGTTCACACCAGCTGCTCTGGAAAGCCTTCCCCAAGTACCCCCTACGCCCACAGAAGCCAGGGACACCTTCCTCTGGGTCTCCTGGCCCCCTACTCTTTCACGGAGCTCCTCTCCCTGCTCTGCACCTGTTCACCTGGCCTCTGACCTTCTGGGGGCCATGCTGCGACTCTCCCATCTGGGCCCCCAGCACTGACCCCAGCATCTGAAGCTCAGTTAACGTCGGCCGGATGAATTAATGACCACTTCCTGCTCACTTAGCAGCCTCTTAACAGCTTCCGGAAATAATCCTTGATTATTAGCTGAATGGAGAATGGAGATTCAAGGACTGTCTGTATCTGACTTCGATAACTTGTGACAATGATCATTTCCTACGTTTGAGACAGAGTCAGGATTCTAGAGCCGGATCCCTCCAAGAGATTTTGCTCCTCTGCTCGTTTGAGGTTGAGGACGTGGGGACTGAGGCAGTTTGGGGCCCGAGCCACACAGCCCAGCTGGGCCGCCCACAGGTCCCTGCTCCCTGCCCAGCGCCTCCTAGTGAAGGGCTTCAGTTGGCCTCTCCCATGCCTTCAACGTCCCAGACACTGGAAGGCCAGGCCACCCTGACGGGACTGTGCCCCGGGGGACCCACGGCACATGCACCCTCTGTGACCAACCGCAGTATTGCTGCAGTCGGTCCCGCCGGCGTCTGTAAAGAGCAGATCTGCACAGGAAAGGAGGAGAATGGGTGTGGGGGGCAGAGAAGTGGAGGGAGTGGGGTGCACGATGAGGGAGACAGAGAAAAGGGGTGCAGAGGGCAGACAGGGAGGGAGGGAATGGTGCCTGGGCCAGCGGAGCAGTGCAGGATTTAGGGCAGACATGAAGTGCCACCAGCATCCTGGGCGAGGCCCCCTGTGATGCCCACGGGCACTGGGACCCCAGTCCCCCAGGCCCTTCTCAGACACAAGCCCAGCACAGCACTGCCCTCCGACTTACAGGGAGGCCTCATCCCAGGCCTGGTCCTGGTGCCCTCTAGCTCTCGGCCGTCGCGATCCACGCACCAGCAGTGGCCGGTGCTGCCGTGGCACTGGGTGGGCGCGTAGTGACCATGCTCGTCACACTCGGGGACGAACAGGCCTGGCCGCTGCGGGTCCGCCGCCCCCGCCGCCCCAAGGATGTGTTCTCGCTCCAGCTGGCACCGTGTTTTCTCCATTTCTACGACAGAGACAAAGGGAGGGAGGCGGTCAGCCATGCCATCGGTCGGTGCTCCCTGGCCGTGACTGCAGGTCACCCACATTGGACTCAGCCCCGTGAAGGCTGCCCGTTCATCGCTGGGTGGTTCTAAAACATAAAATACCAGGGGCACCTGGGTGGCTCAGTTGGTTAAGTGTCCGACTTCGGCTCAGGTCATGATCTCACGGTTCGTGGGTTCAAGCCCCGCGTCAGGCTCTGTGCTGACAGCTAGCTCAGAGCCTGGAGCTTGTCTTCAGATTCTATATCTCCCTCTCTCTCTCACCCTCCCCTGCTCACACTGTCTCTCTCTCTCTCTCTCAGAAATAAATAAAACATTAAAAAAATTTTCTAAAACATAAAATACCATCCTGTATAAGGGATCCGACGGTCAAGATTATATTCACATTTTCTTTTCTCTGCTAAGCATTTTTTGGTTTGTTTGTAACAATTGAGGCAGAACAGACATACCATGAAATTAACTACTTTGAAGGAAATAATTCTGTGGCATTTCGTATAGTCAGTGTTAGGCGGCCACCACCTCTACCAAATACTGATCCACTGTCCTCAGCTCCGAAGGAAATGGAATACCCAGAAGCAGAGCATGGCTCTCCGTTTCTGCCCAACCTCAGCCCCTGGCATCCAGCAACCTGCCTTCTGTCTCTGTGGGTGGCCTCTCCTGGACACGTCCTATAACTGGGATCATATGACACGTGACCTGCTGTGTCTGGCTGCTCTCACTCGGCAGAATGTGTTGGGGTTCATTCACCAGTAGTGTCCATCAGTATGCCATCCCTTTGGATGGCTAAATACTATTCCACAGGGTGGCTACACCGCATTGGTTTATCCATTCATCACTGGGCGGACATCACTGAAATTTACTTTGGGAAACTTTGCTTCTCTGAAATTTGTCCTTTTTATCATGTCAAGCTTCTTGACTATCCACGTTGAACTGAGGCCAAAGATTTGGGAGACCAAACAGCACAGGGTGCATTTTCCAACAACCGCGTGTCATTTTAATGATGACTTCATGTTTGGCACGAGACATGGCCTCTCAGCCATGCAACTCAGATCCCCAAGTAGGGAACTACTTCTAGATCTCTGGGGAATTGCCGATGAGAAGCTACGGCCTGGAATTCAACAACTTCCCAATACGCAGAGTTCTAGGTGGTTCCATAGTGGCTGGAGTCTGGCCACCACAAGGCCCAGGCCAGCATCCCCTCAGCCCTGGAGTCTCCACCACAGAGTGACAGCCAGACACCAGCAGCAGCACGGACTGCCGTGAGGCATGCTTCCGCCAACCCAAACTATGCTGGCTGCCTCTCTTTTCTAGGCCTTTCCATGTGCTATTTGTTGAGTCACACCCCTTCCTCCTTGACCCTGCTTTCCCTCCCTCCCAGGTAATCCTTCAAAAATGTGCTTAGACGTTTACTTCCCTCCAGAAGCCTTACCGGGCCCTCCAGGGCTGGGTCCCATGTGCCTCTGTAGCTGGGGGGGTGGGGGAGGCCTGCGCTCACCTGCCCTGGAGCTCTGTGTCACACAGGCACTGAGACTCTTGTTCCTTGTTTGTCTCCCCGAGTGGATTCCACTCCATCTCTCTCACCTCAACTCAGGAAGCACCTGACAAGGGCAGAGCTCAAGAAGCTCATGGTCCAGAGGGGAGGGAACAAGAAAACACAATGTGACAATCTATCTTGACAGAGGAGGCTGGAATAGGATGGACCCACAGAAGTCTCCGTAGGTCTCAGAGAGCAAAGGGTACCAAGTGCCAGGTGTGGGTGTGTGTGTTTAAAAAGAGAGAGTGAGAGCAAAAGGCAGAGTAAGAGAAAGAATCTTAAGCAGCCTCCACACTCAGCACGGAGCCAGATACGGGGCTCGATCCCACAGCACTGGGATCATGACTTGAGCTAAAATCAAGAGTCCAGGCACCCCCAAAGTGCTAGGTATTTTAAAGCTTATCTATTTTTTTTTTACATTTATTTTTGAGAGACACAGAGAGACACAGTGTGAGCGGGAGAGTTGCAGAGTGAGAGAGAGATGCAGAATCTGAAGCAGGCTCCAGGCTCTGAGCTGTCAGCACAGAGCCTGACATGGGGCTCAAACTCATGAACTGTGAGATCATAACCTGAGCTAAAGTCAGATGCTTAACTAACTGAGCCATCCAGGTGCCATTTTTTTTTTTTTAATGTTTATTTATTTTTGAGAGAGAGTGAGAGTGCAAGCAAGGAGGGGCAGAGAGAGAGGAAGAGGGAATCCCAAGCAGGCTCCGCACTGGGGCTCAATCTCAGGAACCGTGAGATCATGACCTGGGCCGAAATCAAGAGTCAGAAGCTTAACTGACTGAGTCACCCAGGTGCCCTCAAAGTGCTGTTTTTGATCTTCACCGTAAGACTGTGGTTATGTACAGATCTAGTACAGGGCTCCACTGACTTTTCCTGTTGAGAGGCAAAGAGTAAATACTTTCAACTTTGTGGGCCATGTGGTCTCTGTCACAACTACTCTACTCTGCAGAGGTGGCCAAGAAGCAACCAAATCTAACATATAAACGAATTAGTGTTCCAATAAAGCTTTATTTACAAACACAGACAGTGGGCCAGATCTGTCCTCTGGGGACTGTAGTAATACCCCGTAGTGTATTATTCAGAGGAGTAAGTGAAATATGATTAGACAATGCACACAGAGCAAATTTTAAATTCAGTGCTCACATGTTCATTTGTGACTGTATCTACACATGGCCTTCATGGTGACATTTAGCATGCACGTTGCCAGTAAATGTTTAAAGTACCTTTTGTCTGTGTTGCCAATTCTCACATTACCCTGCTTCATGTGGTTGTTCCCTTGATCAGAAGCAGTGAACATGCCTGGAAAGGGGGTGTTGAACGTGGCTAGGAAAAAGTGGGTATTGCTTTCCCTTTTGTCCTATGGGCTAACATTAAAAAAAAAAAATGATGTAGGAAGAGCCAAACAAAGATGGAAAGAAGCCATCTGGTTGGGAATAAAAATGTTGGGGCCTGTTTACTCCTGGACATAGAACCTGTTCACCTCCTCAATACCTTACGTGTGCACAGGGTTTTAGTTTTCTGCATAAGGTGTCTCAGTTTACACGTTTCATTTAACTTCTCTACTAGAATCCTATGCAACAGGCAACTAACTATATTTTTTCCACCTAATGAGAGACCCGAGGCTCACACTGGTGAAGGGGCTCCCCGATCGCAGCACATATAAGTGGGTCAGCTCAAGCTAGAAACCTGGGTCTTTGGATTCCTAGCCCAGCCCCCTACCTCATCTTTACCCACAAGCCCAGTGCACGCTGGATGGGTTATGTCAACAGTGGCATACACAAGTGAGCTTAACGCACCCACTAAAATTATGTGTGGCCCACAGACTCATTTTCCCTCCATCAACGTCTATATCTGATGCTGCCTTTCCAACTAGAAAACACACCTGGTGCTCTGCGGGCAGTCAACCAAACCAAACGTTTGAGGAACCAGAGGTTACCCCATTCTACGTGGCTGACAGTTCTGCGCCGATGTGGTGTTTGGCTGCCATACAACATCTCAAGTAAGTGACAATTTACAGTGGAACTTTAAAGTGCTGTATCTTGAACTCATAAAAAGGAGGGAAAACCTCAGCTGTGACTCAGGAAATGGAATTTCAAGTGTGTTTATGGAAAGCTGTGAGGTCGCTGGGTTTCTGGGGATGGCTTCTAAGCTGGGCCACCAGGCGGGGGGAGCAGCTCCAGGGGGAGCCCCCCCGCTGCTGGCCCCAGCCCCCCATGGAGAATTTTCCACAGTGGGTAGCGTGAGGAGGGAGTAATAAAGACACATTTCCTGGCCGTGTTTTTGGCTGATAAAATGACCACTCAGGCAAGATTCCTTTTATTCATCTAGTTTGATCTGCTCGGGGGAGGAAGCAGTCAAGACCTGATATCTGTCCAGGGAACAGCAGGAAGTCTGGGGTGACTTTCTCAAGGTTGGGGACAAAGAAAATGAGAGGAAATTGAATAGAAGGAGAAATAAGAAAAAAAGTACCTTTTTAATTTCCTGACTTGCATTTCATTCCCTTACCTGATTAAATTTCCTTCTCTGTGTCAATTCAACTAGATAACTATCACAGCCTCTGATATATTCAATGGGGTTGAGGAACTCATGTGGGGAGGCACCACTTTTTAGCCTCTTCCTGCCCAGTTTGCCCCCAAGAGGGGCCAGCTGCTCCTGGGGGCTCTTCTACGCACGCAGACTTATCTATAATAAAAATAATCTAAACCAACATCAGAGACTTTAAGAATGTCTTTCTTTTGGGGCATCTGAGTGGCTCAGTTGGTTGAGCATCTGACTCTTGATTTCGACTCAGGTCATGATCTCATGGGGTGTGAGTTGAGCCCTGCACTGGGCTCTGTGCTGACAGTGCGGATCCTGCTTGGGATTCTCTCTCTCCCTCTTTCTCTGTCCCTCCCCAACTTGCACGGATGTGTGTGTGTGTGCGTGTGTGTGTGTATGTCGGTGTGTGCTTTTTCTCTCTCAAACTAAATGAATAAACTTAAAAAAAAAGAATTTCTTTTAAAAAGGGCTTTACTCCATTTTGAGAAAAATTGCTATAGAAAATTCTTTTACATAAAAAGTTCAAGGAACCTTTTTGTAAACCGAGAAATCGCTCAGGCGGTCTTTGTTTATAAAACGAAGGAGATGAATCATAGAATTTCTAGAGTTCCTTCTAGTTCTGACTGGGAAATTCAAGTTTTCTAACATAGGGTTTGCTTGAAGTAAAGTGCACACTGAGACACAAACAAGACATGAAAACCAAGACATACATTAAATCGTTCCTCAGTTTTCTTTCTCTAAACTGTATTGTTCCCCCTCAATGTTTTCAGCTTTCCTTACAGCCCTACTTTCTGAACTCTTGAAGTGCCTTTGTGTCTAAAGTTGTGTGGTATGCCTCTAGGTGGGAGACGCTGCTAAGTGTGATGAGCGCCAAGCATGAAAAGAGGTGATAAAACATCTGTAGGTTTGGTATTTGCCCTTAAGGGCCAAACTCTGCAACTCTATCCCAGGACATTGTATTATGTGCCTCTTTGATCTGCTAATATTCCATTCTCCTACTTTCCAAAAATCTAGCCAATTATATTCCGCTGGACATTCCTGAGGCAAGGTCATTGGCTGTGGTAGCCAGCCTCCAAGATCACCCTCATCTCCAGCCTCCTGGTATTTTCACATTTAGGCAATTCCCTTTCAATGCTGTTAGGGGGCTGGCCTGTAACTAAGAGTATCACCAGAAGGGACAGCGTGTCACTTCCAAGATGAGGTTACAAAAGACCATGGCTTCCATCTTGGATGTTCTCTCTCTCATCAGTTGGTCTGGAGGAAGCCAGCTGCCAGGGGTTGAAGTCGCTGAGGCATCCTATTAAGAGACCCAGGCTGTGAAGACCTGAAGTCCTCAGTCCCAACAGTCGATGAGGAACAGAGGCCTGCCAGCAATTACGGGTATCCCTGTGCCTCAGATAACCCTCAGAGACCGCAGCCCCAGCTAATTCCTGGACAACACCCTAAGGAGAGACCCTGATCCAAGACCACCCAGCTAAGCTGCTCCTGAATTTCTGACCACAGAAACTGTGAGATAATATTTATTGTTTTAGCTGCAATCCTGAGGATAACTTGTTACATCACAATAGATGACTACAATGGACTCTTAAACAACATGGTTCTGAACTGTGGAGTTTCTTATCGAACAGAACTATAAATGTATTGTCTCTTCCTTATGATTTTCTGAATGACATTTTCTTTACTCTAGCTCATTGTTAGAATGCATGTAACACATACCACATACAGAGTATGTATTAATCGACTGTTTATGCTATCAGTCAGCAGTAGGCTCTTAGTAGCTAAGTTTTTGGGCAGTCAAAAGTTATACATGGATTTTCAACTGCGTGGGGGGGGGGGTCAGTGCCCCTAACCCCTGTGTTGTTCAAGAGTCAACTGTACCACGGTGGCTTTCAAACTTTCGGGCCATGACCCACAGGAATACATTCCACTCAGCAACTCAACACACACATACACTTACGCACACATCCTCACCCGTGTGGATACAAGCATCATTTCATGAAACAGTACTTTTTCCTCCTATATATACTCTACATACTCTGATATTTTCTTGATTATTGTTTTCTATTCCACTTCATTTAAACAAAAATGGTAATAGCGATCCATGGAATGGATTTCACAATCCATATGCAGGTTGTGAGCAAGAGTGCAGAGGCTTGGGGGACACAAATCAGAATTTCTTGCCTTGTCTGTCATCAGTTGACACTGCCGTAGCTGTCACCCTAATTGACTCACCCTCAAAGTCAGTTTAGTTTTTTCAACTAGTCCCTTCTGTACATAGCAGGTACTAAATTAAGTGCTGACTGTCCAACTCCCTGCACTTCATTGTGCTTGGCAATAGGCGTCTGGATGACATTAGTTTTCTCCCTGCTGATATTTCATAAAATATTTTAGACAAAATTTAGAAAAATATGATGAAAACCTCTGCGTTCGTATTCCAGTGGAAAAAAAAATTGGGAATACAGAGGCAGCTCTTGCGTAACCTTCCTCAATCCCTACTTCCTCTCTCCTACTGTGCAGGCATTTTATAGATTTCCTACATACGTATACACACATAGGTTTATTTTCATATAGCATTATATATTTTTTAAGTTTATTTGTTTTTGAGAGAGACAGTGACAGTGTGAATGGGGGAGGGGCAGAGAGAGAGGGAGAGAGAGTCTGAAGCAGGCTCTGCGCTGTCCGCACAAGAGCCCGGTGCGGGGCTCAAACTTACAAACTGTGAGATCATGACTTGAGATAAAACCAAGAGTTGGGTGCCCGACCGAAAGTGTTATAATTTATATAAATGGGATCACATCGCATGTACCCTTCTGCAACTTTTTTTCTGCTCAATCTGTTGTCAAGGTTTATCCATTAACTCATTTTAACCATTGACTTATTTTACTTACTTCAACTTTTTAACATTTTTACATTTTTTACATTTTCCTCATTTTAACGGCTGCATATTATTTCACTGTATCGAATTGTACCAAAACTTCAGGTCCGTGCCTCCTACCAATACTCATTTAGATTTCTTTTCTATTACAAGCAAATACTCAGTGAACATTGGTATGTATCTCTAGTGCACATTCTCTCTTGACTATTTAATTAGATGTTGAATTTCTTAGGAGAACAGGACTGAATACATAAACAATCCTAGCAGATTGCGCTCATCGGTTTCATCCTTGTCCCAGCTTCATATTCTAGCCTGCAGGGATGAATTTGTTTCTGTTTACTTAACAGAGCCTTAAAGAGGGGGCAAGGAGTGAGGTTAAAAACAAAAAACAAGAAATGAAGACATCTGCTTCTTTTTGAACTGGTGATGTGAAGCAAGCTTAGGGAAATAACGGAATGTTCGTGATTTTTAGTAGCTGCTGGGGAGTCTTGACTAAGACCATCACAGGCCTGCCTATCAGAATCTATGGGCAGCACTAACAGTTCTTACCCCCAATTTCAGGAACAAAAGGTTGGCCTTCCCTCGGGTCATTCTGGCTGGTTGACAAACGTTTTCTCTCAAGAAGCAGGTAGTAAATATTTTAGGCTATGCACGCCTTATGGTCTCTGTCACAACTACTGACCTCGGCCTTTGTAAGATTAAAGAAGCCACAGACTTACATAAACTAACAAGCATGGCTGTATTCCAATAAAACTTTATTTATAAAAACAGGAGGTGGGCCAGATATGATGTGCAAGGAGTAGTATGTTGACCGTTGTTCTAATCAGAAGGGAACAGTGTGGACCAGAAATATGTATTATATATATCCAGATTTTAACTTAATCTATGAGCAACTATCCAAAAAACCAGTCACATGTAGTCCTGTTGAGAGTGGGGATACATAATAGTTTTATATACTGCCGGTAGGCATGGAAACTGGTACATTCATTTGGTTCAACAGTAATAAATATGTGAGCACCATCAGGGGCCACGTGCTTGACTGGATATCACTGGATGTAAAAATAAAATGCATATGCACCCTACATTCACAGGCTAGTGAAGGAGACACATACGGAAATGGCTATTAATTGCTTTAAAAGGTGGTGAAATGGAGGTGGCCAGGGGGGCTCAGTAGATTGAGCTTCCAGCTCTTGATTTCAGCTCAGGCCCTGATCTCACAGTTCGTAGGTTCGAGCAGTGCAGAGCCAGCCTGGGACTCTCCCTCTCCCTCTCTCTCTGCCTCTCTCCCGCTCACTTGCTCTCAAAAATAAATTAAAAAAAAAGTGGTGAAATGGATATTTTGTTAAAACATTATATACTTGTGCATTTATATATATATAACATATTTACAGTGGCATAAATATATCTGGCCAAGAACAGCAGCAGTAATTAAAAATAAGCAATTACATAACTCCAGTCTACAGTGTCAAACGCATTCTTAATCTCAAGACAGAATATCACGTGGTTTAGAGGCCTGAATCCAGGCCGGAGTCCATCGTACGGACCTGGATTTGAGTCTCAGTTCTGGCACTTACTACCAGCGGGACCTTGATTATGTCTTTATCTTTTTAAGCGTTAGCATTCTCTATCAGTGGAGATCATAATAGTGTTCGCTTTAAAAAGACAACAGTGAACATTACATGAAACAGTACAAGTGAAGCTACTAACACAGAACAGGTCCTAACAAACGGCAGCCAATTACACGTATTCACGCAATAGCATCTGTCGAGCACCTCCCAAGTTCCCAGAATTGAATCCAGATACGGTCCTAGGGCCATCATTATTCTTAGGGTCTAATGAGATGGCACCCAAGCTTTGGGTGAGCAGGTAACTTCAACAGGTGCACGGTCCAGCTATATGCAGTAATTGGGACAATTCTGTAGCATCCTCGGCCTCCATCTTCCCCCCGTCGTGGCCCTTCACCCGTGCTCCCTACTTCCACCCTAGCTCTATCTCCTGTGACTCCTAGGAAGCTAGGATGAGTCAATTTTCTGTGTGAACTTGACTGGGCCACAGGGTGGGGATATGCCAGATATCTGGGTACCAGATATTCAGTCAAACATTCTAGGTGTTCTGTGAGGACGTTTTGGATGAGATTAACTTTTACCTTCACAGACTGAGTAAAGCAGATTGGCCTCATCCAAAGAGGAGAAGGCTAGCATAGAATAAAAAAGTCGGGCCTGCCCCGAGCAAGAGAGAATCTTCCTTCTTAATTACTATGAGCTGGGACCCTGGCTTTTCTCTGCCTTCAGTCTCAAATGGAAACATTAGCTGCCTGGGTCTCCAGTTTGCTAACTGCAGATCTTGGGACTTGCAAGTCTTTATAATCATGAGAACCAATTCCTTATAATATATCCCTTTATAAACAAACACAGACACAGACAACAAACACAGACACAGACACAGACACACACACACACTATTAGCTGTTTCTCTGGAGAACCCTAATATAGAGCAATTCTTACTCTGAACTGCTTGCTCAAGTTATAAGGATGACCAGACTCTAGGTTGACAGTACAGTTATGGTCTGTGTGGCGGCCCCTGGGGTTGTGCAGTGCACACCCTACATGCCTGTACACCATGGCTGTGCTCTGATCTCCCACCTTAACAACCCTTAGGACCCTCCATAGAGACTCCAACTTCCCCATCTCACCTCCTCTCCCAGGGTCATGGACTCAGGCCTCACGAATGTGGCAATGGCCTATCAACTCCAAACATCTCTGACACCTTACCTCCAGGCACACAATGGAAGCCGTCTCCACGATAACCAGGTTTGCACTGGCATGTGAAGGAGCCGGGTGTGTTGTAGCAAAAGGCATCAGGGTGACATTGGCTTGGCTGGCATTCATCCACGTCTGCAAAAGAGCCACAAAGCCCAGGGACAATGAAACTTCTTCTGGAATTCATAGTTTATACAATAATTTAAAAGTTCAATGCACTATCCATTGCGCTACAGAGCCTGCATGGTTTATGCGATAATTTAAACCACTTGCTCAGCTCTAGGGGGCTCTGTTTCTGATCTGGGAACAGTGATTGAAAGTTCACCAAACATTAGTCATCTAAACACAAACTCTCTGGGGCGCCTGGGTGGCTCAGTCAGCTAAGTGTCACTTTGACTCAGGTCATGATCTTGAGGTCTGTAAGTTCGAGCCCTGTGTCAGGCTCTGTGCTGACAGCTTGGAGCCTGGAACCTGCTTCAGATTCTGTGTCTCCCTCTCTCTCTGCCCCTGCCCTGTTCATGCTCTGTCTCTCTCTTTCTCTCTCAAAAATAAACATTAAAAAAAAACCACTCACTCTCCAATTTCTATCTTGTGTATTTATAAATGTGTTTCACTTGGATGATAATGTTTTCATGGAAAATCGAGCATGTAAAAGGGGAAAAAAAAGATTCTTTTGCATATTATATAAAATGATCGTTGTCATCACAAATGAGAACTTTAAAAATGTCTGACAGTTTGGAGACATGATTAACCACTGACAGAAAAACCTCAGAGATCAGAGAAAATTCACATTTACTTTTTGTTCAGTAACAAAAAGAAAGTATCCCGGGGCGCCAGGGTGACTCAGTCGGTTAAGCGTTCAACTCTTGATTTCAGCTCAGGTCATGATCTCAAGGTTCTTGAGTTCAAGCCCTTTGTAGGGCTCTGTGCTGAGTGTGGAGCTTGCTTGGGATTCTCTCTTCTGTCTGTCTCTCCCTTGCTCGCTCGCTCTCTCAAAACAAATAAATAAACTTAAAAAAAAAGAAAGTATTGTATCTCAGAAATTGTATCTCAGAAAGTATTGTATCTTAGAAAAGTTTGGACTTTCAGGAGTACTATATGGTGTATTATTAAGTAATTTTGCAAATCAAGAGATCAGTGTACTTTTTTTTACAGCTATCTTACCTAAAATCATCTTCAAAAGCATCTTGGCAGCCAACAATGGACTGACCTCAGGTCTGAAAGAATTCTGTGGAGACATTCTCTGCAGTCATTTATTTTAAAAGGGGACTTGGTTTTTTCTGGAGCAGAAGGTGAGAGCAGGCCAGGTGAATGGCTACAGACTTACTAAAGAAAAAGCTGGATCTCAAGTCCCCACGTATACAAGGATTATCTGCCTTTTTGTGAAAGACCATCTCTTCAGTTCCTAGCAGACAGCAGGGGTCTAATTGTTGCTTAAGTGAGCAAATCACAGAACACAACAGTAGGTGGGGGCTAAGTGTCTTCCCCAATGAGAACAGCCTCCAAGGAAAAATGCCTGGGTCACACTACCAGAGACAGACAAAATGCAGCACATTTACCCAACAGAGTTGAAAGGATAATTCTCAGGGTGCACGGGTGGCTCAGTGGGTTAAGTGTCCACCTCCTGATTTCGGCTCAGGTCACGATCTCACGGTTCATGAGCCTGAACCATGCATTGGACTCCATGCTGACAGGGCGGGACATGCTTGGGATTCTCTCTCTCTCCCTCTCTCTCTGCTCCTCCACTGCACTCGCTCTCTCTCAAAATAAACAAACTTAAAAAAAATAGCGTAATTCTCTTAATTTCAGGATGAGTTGGTAATTAGCACATGGAATCTTTTGAGGTTACACAGAGAGAAAAATCAGAGGAAACACGCACCTTGGCAGGCTCGGCCGTCCCCAGAGAAGCCCGGCAAACAGGAGCAGGTGTAGGAGGTCCCTCCCAGGTAGATGCACTGCGCCCGCTGTGGGATGTCACAGTCGTGGAGGCCCGTCGTGCAGTAGTTGACGGGGCGCTGGTCCACAACAGCTACAAACAAAACGTTGACATGGTGTTTGAAGCGAGGCCCCTGAGTGGTCCCAGTGACCTTCTAAGTTCCCTCTCCATCAGCGGTTTAGTCCATTGAGGGGAATGTGCTAGAACCCCGGAGCTCTAGGCATCTTACCAGGCGTCATCCTCTGCTCACCACTGGGTTGAGATCCCCGGACTTCCTGTTGTCTGCCACCTGGCTTCTGCCTCGGATTAGTCTTTGAGGATGGACACCAAGGCTGCTCATTCAGCCTGATACCCTCAGCTTCGCCCCTGGGGCTCTGTCTCAGGCCACTCTCCATACCAGGTTCCCCCAAACCCAGCTTCCCTTTCACCTGGATGCAGAGGTGGAACACCTCTCGGTGTATGTGTGTACGCTCCTGCGGCAGCTCCGTCAGAGCATTTGAAGAGAAGGATCTGAGACTTCCCCAGGGTGTCTTTCCCCTTGGCCCACCGGGCAGGAAGAACACAGACTACGAGTGCTGAAGTCAAAGTCACCCATTTCCCATGAAGGAAGGAGGAATCCTTCCGCCACATGGCTTTGGTAGATCATATGATTTCTTGGAGCCTCAAGTTCTTCCTCTGTAGGAATTACTTCCCACGTGCCAAGCACAAGGAGGCCCAGTAGATGGAACTCTTATTTACTAAAGGGTCCTGATGCTAGAACTCATAGAACGAGGGCTCAGGACGTGGGTGAGTGACACAGAGGCTAGCCAGTAATACCTCACCTTGTGCTCTTCCCTGAGATGGAAGTCAAGGGCTGAGGTCTAGGGCGTATTTTCAAATGGCCGGTTCAGGTTCTCTGGGGGTTCACAAGGTACCGTTTAGCTTCTGGGTTTAAAGCTCTAAGACCCAGGACAGAATCCTGTCCCTTGAAATGTCAGAACAGAACCTTTGCTTCCCTCTGAGGAGGCCCCTGGTGTCTGGATTATCTTAAGGGAGGGCTTTTCCTCTTTCTCCTCCGTGAGTCTTCCCAAGACCCAACCCGGTTTTTCTGGGCTCACGTGCTTTGAGAGGGAGAGCTCTAAGCACTGTTGGAGATATAGAAAGGAGAGGATACTCCTCAAAGGTCTGTGGGAAATGAGAAGTTAGTAAAGTAGTGGTGGATGGAGGTCCGGCCTGTGCACTTGGCACTGAGACTCCTGAAGTCAAGACTCTACGGGACAGGTATTAGCAAACCGAGTCTTGTGGGCCAAAGGGTGGATAGATTTTAAATTACTGCAAGCGGTCCACAGATTTGTCTGGAAAACAGTAGCCCACATTATACCTACCAAGTCCTAACACATTCTGCTTCCTTGGACCCTCCTGTCATCTCTCACTTCCCCTCATTTCTGTTCTTTTCTCTAGGGTCCCTCCCCCACCCCAACAAATCCTTCAGCCTGTGGTGTGAAGGGGATAGTGTCAACAAATTTAGGGTCCTCAAAAGGTAGGGAAAATACAGGTCAATAGAACAGCCAGGAAATCAGCCTCACTCTGCTTTCTTTCCTCTGTCTCTCACAACAAATCTTTATGTAATTTATAGATTGTAAGTGAGCATTTTATAAATTATATTTGCTCAGGGCCTCGATCTGCTGCACCCTTCTTAACAGAGGGGAAACTTGGGGTCAGCACATATGCATTTCAGTGTTCTCTCCCCATCATCATCTTCACACACGTATGTGTTTCTATAATCTTCAAGTCATTTCTAGAAAAAGGCAATTTATAACTGAATTTCTTTTTAAAAAAATTTTTTTTAATGTTTTATTTCTGAGAGAAAGAGAAAGAGAGAGAGAGAGAGAGACAGTGTGAGCAGGGGAGGGTCGGAGAGAGAGGGCGACACAGAATCAGAAGTAGGCTCCAGGCTCTGAGCTAGCTGTCAGCACAGAGCCTGACATGGGGCTCGAACCTACGAACTGTGAGATCATGACCTGAGCCGAAGTTAGATGCTTAACTGTCTGAGCCACCCAGGCGCCCTCTTAATTTCTTAAGTCTAGAAATGTAAGAAAATTGAATTTCTTAAATCATGTTTTTCCTTATGGAAGACCATGTTTCCACAGCAAAACAATTTTCTCCTTAAAGGGGTTTTGAAAGCTGCCTTCACAATTCCAAGTGTTTTCATTCGACTTTTTTCATTTTACAGTGAATGAAGCATTTTTTAGTGAGGTTTCAAATCAATTCAAGGGAAAGCGTTGCCACGGTTCCTGACAGCCACCGCCCTGCCCCCAGTCCTGGAGGTTCGCCTCGGTTCTCACACAAATGGAGTCTCTAAATGGTCTTGCTGATGATGCTCCTTCAAAGAGAGGTCAGGACAGTCATGGAGAAGAGCAGCTGGCTTATCCCTGCAGCAGAGAAGCGGCTTCCTGGACAGCCCTAAGGAGACCAGAGGGGGCACACCAGGGCGCCTGGCTCTGCTTCCCTCAAAGGCTCTTGACCTTGCAGAGCTGGTAATCTCTCTACAACTCTGATCCCGCCTGTACAACGGATGGGAAGCTACCAGGGGCGGGGGGATACTGGGAGAAGTTTGGGAAGGAGAGAAAAGTGGCTCAAATGGGAATTAAAAATGAACTACAGTCACAAGTAGATGGTACGCTGCGGTTGTACTTTATTAGCTCCTCCATGCGGGAAGAGAGCCCTGGGCAAGGAGGGGGGCCCTGACCTGGAATGAGAGGAGCGATCTGAGGAATGGAGGCTCAGAGACGGTAAGCATGTTCCTCAAAATCCGATGCCTAGGAGTTGACATTTGCACCCCACCTGCCTCGCACCCCATCCTATCCTCCAGCGAGTGTGCACGGCAGAAATGGTCCAAACACGGACATCACCCCTCACAGCCATCTACCCCACGAATGCACGCTCCACCACCCAAGTGTAAGTCCAAATGTAATGTAAATGGCGGTGTCATGAAAAAATAAACCTTAGAGGGACACCTGGGTGGCTCAGTCGGTTAACTGTCCAACTCGACTTCGGCTCAGGTCACTACCTCTCGGTTCATGGGTTCAAGCCCCATGCCGGGCTCTGCATGGACAGCACTAAGCCTGTTTCAGATTCTCTCTTTCTCTCTCTCACACAAATAAATAAATAAACATTTTTTTTAAAAAAAGAAAATAAACCTTTGAATCTCCTTCACCTCAAAAAGCATGGAAGGAAGTGAGGCCAAATACACAGAAATTGTTGTTCTCCATTGAAAAGAAAAAGAAGTAACCTTAGCAGAGCTGAAAGCTTCACTCTGTGCAAAGGCGCCTGGCTTCTCCAAATCCACAGATGTTTGGGTCACATTCAAAGTATGAGAACTGCCTGTTCCCTGCCGCCCTGAAGACATCACCTCGCCCTGGGACCTCGGAGCCTCATCCGAGCTCTGAGACAGAGCAAACAGAAAGCACGCTAGGGCTTTGTGAACAGCAAGGAAGGGGTAAGGAGACGGCTCACTGAGGCCGTAAAAGAAGAATCTGTTTTGAATTGTTGAGAAGAAATGTTGAGTTCAGATGGTCCATTCAGCATATTGCCCTCCAGCCCTGGAAATCTCCACAAATCTCTGAACTTAAAATTGCTGGAGCCAACAGGTCAAAGTGCAGCAGTGGAGGAAAAAGTGGAGAAATCTAAACAATCTGGCTCTTTGTGGTCGGCCTATCTCCATCACCACCCAAATCATCACTGACCTAAGGCATTATTAGTCCGATTCACAGCTTCGACAAGGGTAAGAAGTTATGCTATTACTTGTGGCTTATAAAATCGAGATCCGTGAACAGAATGGCCCCAAATGGAATTTTTTTCTATTAAAAAAATTTTAATGTTTATTTTTGAGAGAGAAAGAGAGAGAGACTGAGCACGAGTGGGGGAGGTGCAGAGAGTGAGACAGAGACTCCAAAGCAGGCTCCAGGCTCTGAGCTGTCAGCAGAGACCGACGCAGGGCTCGAACCTACAGACTATGAGAGCATGACCTGAGCCGAAGTTGGACGCTTAGCCGACTGAGTCACCCAGGTGCCCCTGAATTTTAGACATTAATCAGGAAAACTTCTATCTAAATCATCTGTCAGATCCTCCCTCCATATGAATCTCAAGACCATTGATTATGGGGCGCCTGGGTAGCACAGTCAGTTAAGTGTCTGACTTTTGGTTTTCTCTCAGGTCATGATCTCACAGTTTATGAGTTCATAAACTCGGGCTCCACGCTGACAGTGTGGAGCCTGCTTAGGATTCTCTCTCTGACTCTCCATCTTTGTCTCTCTCAAAAATAAATAACTAAACTAAATCGATAAATACATAAACAAATGGTGAAAAAAGTGTAATTGTTTTAAGAAGTATTAAAAAACAATGAGAAGAATTAAAAGGAGTTTTATAAGAAGAAATGTAGTGCAAAAGCTTACAACTGGTAAAGGGATGCTATTACTAGCACAGATAATAACACTGCTTATTCCTTACATACATGACCCTCCAGGTAGTTGGAAGGAAGGAATGAGTCTGATTCATCTTGTAAACTGCTTCCCTCAACAAGAGAAGCCAGCACTCGCCAGGTGCTGCAGGAAGCCAGCAAACCCAGCCAGGATAATCACCTGGGGCAACACCTTCGTCCAGGTGGTGTGGTACTGCACAACATATGAATAAACGAATAAATGCTTAGAAAAGTTACCTACAGAACTTACCCACACATGTCCCCTCGTCTGAAAACTGATAGCCCTCCACACACTCGCAGCGGAAGGTTCCGGGGTGATTATTGCAGATCGCGTGGCTCCCACACACTGAGGGCTGTTCTGAACATTCGTCGATATCTACAACGAATTTTTTCAACATGCAGACATTTAAAAAAACAACTTCTTTCAGTATCACCAGGTATAATAAAATAGAAAGCATTCTGGCCCATGAAGGGATCAATTTTAAAACAAACTGCTCTTAGAGTGCTGATGCATAGGGGCACATGTACCCCAATGTTCACAGCAGCACTCTCAACAATAGCCAAATCATGGAAAGAGCCTAAGTGTCCATCAACTGATGAATGGATCAAGATGTGGTTCATCTATACGATGGCATACTACATGGCAATGAGAAAGAATGAAATCTGGCCATGTGTAGCAACGTGGATGGAACTTGAGGGTGTTATGCTGAGCGAAATAAGTCGTGCAGAGAAGGACATATACCATATGTTCGCATGTATAGGAGGATTAGGAGGAACTTAACGGAGGACCGTGGGGGAGAAGAAGGGGAAAAGTAGTGGGGGAGAGGGAGGGAGGCAAACCATGAGAGACTCTTGAATGCCAAGAACAAACTGAGGGCTGATGGGGGTGGGGAGGAGAGGTAGGGGGGTGACTGGCATGGAGGAGGGCACTTGTGGGGATCAGCACTGGGTGTTATATGGAAACTAACTTGACAATAAACTATTTAAGGAAAAAAAACCTGCTCTATATTCCAAAAGTAGTGGTAAAAAGGTTTCTTGTTTTCCTGGGCCCAAGTTTCGAGAGAGATGTCAAGGTCCTCCTGCTGTAAATGTGGGCTTCCCATGCCTGTCCTGGGATTCACTGCTGAGCCTGGAGTCTGCCAACATCAGAATGACACACACATGTCACAAAGATGTGGGGACGAGTGTCCAGACCGTGAGTAAGGCTCCTAAACTACTGACCATATGTAAATTCATGCTCCTCAAAAATATTACTTTTCTTCAGCTACAGTTACAAAGCAAAGTCGGACAATGTAAAGCCTGATTGTGAATTTTCGAATGTTACCTAGAGCTTAATGCACTAAAAGGAAAGTCATTAACTCACAAGGCTGTAAATGAGCCAGCCGGGTGATGTTCCCTCACGCGACAACACCAAAGCCACCACATGGGGTAACGAAGAACCAAAAAAGCATATGCTTGGGAGCTGGACATACCGAGGTTCAAATCCTGCCTCCTTCAGTTACCGGCTTGTGTGGCCTTGGGCAAGTGACTACTCAGCCTCCGTTTCCCCATTAGTAAATAAGCATAGTACTATTGACCTTGAGGGGTTCTTCTGAGGATGACAGAAAATGGATGTAAGGCAGAGGAGCACCTAGGATTCTCAAGAAATGTAGCTATTTTATAATTTTTAGGGATTCATCCTACACAACCAGACATGGGGATGGATTTGGCCCATTCTAGGAACATGGCCTGCGGATGGCCTCTAGGCATCGGGGTCCAATCTAGAGCTAATCCCACAGTGAGCCTGGCTGGCCCGGACAAGAAACCGAGCTGACCTGTCATCACACTGGTTACCTGTCCACTGATGGGCTGAAATAAACACAATCACACAAGGTCTTTCCATCCCAACCTCATTCTCAGAGGGTACACGGTTACTTCCGGCATTTCTAGAACTCTGAGACTTGTGGGCAGATTGCATTATGGCTGAGATCCACCTCTCACACCCCCACCCCCCAATGCCTTAAGGTGAATCTTTCACACTCAGGAGATGAAGCCTTATGTGTTACCACCAGTGACGCATCAGTGCTGTCACTGGTGACACAAATGTCCTGCTGGCCTAGCGGGCACCGCACAAGATAAAACACCTCGGCCACGTCATTCCCAAACCCGTGCAAAACCCCATAACGGCAGCAGCTTTTTGAAAATATACCGCCACAAATGTTCCCACATTCCCGCGACATGTTTACGATACAAGGTCTCACACAAGAGGATGACCCCAGGCACAGCTGGAAGGCCCCAGAACAAGGCCCCCTCCCCCCAGCAGCCTCCTCCACGAGGCTGGGGTGTGGGTGCAGGGATATTGAGCAAGCGTGGCCTCCGCGGCTCCGTCCGCCAGCTGCTGCTCCAACAACCCAGGAGGAAAAAAAAATCATTCCGGCTTCCACGGTCTCCGTGCGTGACCCTCAGAGGACACTCCCAGCACAGATGTCCGGAGGCCCCGTACAGCCTGCAGGACTGACTCCACGGCTTCAGCGCAGTTGCCAAAGGACAATGGCAAAGAAGCAACACTTTTCAATCAAAGGGACAGAACAAAATCACCAGGGGAAGTTTTCCAAGTTCCATTCGGCCCTGGAAGGTTTATGGACAGGGCAGCTGTGGGTTTCGCAAAAGCTACATAAGTGATTAGGAGAGCAGTCAATCCCCCATGTCACGTACAGCTGGTCAACGGGGTTGGGGGGGGGTGAAGGAGGGGACGATCCCCAGCACAACCTCACCCCCATGAAGGTCTGCACACAGAATCCAAGCAGGGTCACACTTCTTCTTTAGAGCGAGACTAGCAGTTTCTCCATAAAAGCACAGTCCTTACAAAGTGGAAACTCTTCCTAATGCCTAATTTAACCCCCCCTTCCATAAACTGAGGCTAGGACTTTAATTCGTACTTTACTGGAAACAGTGCATTGGCAATTACTGTCCCTCATAAAATATCACAGCATCTGTTTAAAGTTTATTGTTTTTATTCAATATCTGGTCAAATTCTTCCCTGGGAAGATACTTCCTCTCACACAAATCATTCTCTAACCCAAAAGGAAAATGCTGGATTACTCTTGTAATGCCTGCTTCCCTTTTTAGTTTTTTTTTTCAGAATGGCTACTTTTCATGTATTTTCAACAACTCTAAATTCATCCCTTTTATAAAGGCCAGGCTCGGGGCGCCTAAGGAGCTAAGCCCCTTAGGACTAAATGTATATTTGGGAAATGGAAAGGGAAGAGTATCTACTAACTGATCATTGAAACACTGGGAAAGGGCGCCTGCGTGGCTCAGTCGGTTAAGCGTCCACCTGCAGCTCAGGTCATGATCTCACAGTTCGTGGGTTCGAGCCCCGTGCCAGGCTCTGTGCTGACAGCTCAGAGCCTGGAGCCTCCTTCGGATTCTGTATCTCCCTCTCTCTCCGAGCCTCCCCCGCTCATGCGGTCTCTCTCTCTCAGAAATATATTAAGAATGTTAAAAAAAATTTATAAAGGCCAGACTCTTTGAGGAGACTTGTTCGGTTTGGTTTGTTAAGTGTCTTGTGTGTGCTCAAAATACTCGTTGAGAGATTATCCAGAAGGATCTCTATAGCCTCCCGGTTGAGAAATACACAGAAGCCATTCGGCCAGGCACCAGAGCGCTTGTGAGTTCATCTGGAAACCTGCTCCAAACTACCTTGGAGGGTCCCTCTGCAGCGTCCCGCCAACACCAGGCATTCTTGGGATGCCATCTGTCATTATATCCATGTTACCCAACCTGAATTACAAAGGATCATTCTCTTCTAAGTCATTTTCCGGGTCAAAATAATGCATGAAGTGATTTGCTTCATCCAGTTTCCTATCAACGGCCTCATGTCTCAATCCATTAACACTGGGAGGCATGTTCTAGTGACCCAGAACAAAAAGCAGCCTGACTGGGAATATACCCACATTCCACGGTGCTAATCTGCCAGAGCGAGGACTAACCCCAGAACAAAAGCAGGTCCCCACATGACCACCTGTCTTCCTGAGTGAGCGCATCAGAGAGTTTTCTCTGATAGCAGTAGATTATGCAACGTTGTGCCTTGTGAAGTGAATCAAGCGCTCTTCCTACGAGAAGCTCACGTACCAAGAGTGCAAGAATTAGCCAGAGGTTATGGCCCAGCAGCAGCGGGTTGGGGCATCTCCACGCTTTACTAACATCCAGTTGGCTTAAAACTGTTGGGCTCTCTGGGGACCTACTGGAAAACTCTGATGGTCTGAGGCAAGTAGGAACTATGACCCCTTGCTAATGGTATGTTCCAAGGAAGGTGAGCCTCCGACTGAATTCTACCACATTGTACAAAGCTATCAGCAGGCTGGCTAAGCGATTAGGCAGCCTGTTTCTATAAGCGCAGGTCCCTGCTCTCCGTTATTTCAGATGCTCCCACGAGGACCTCACATAGTGTTTCACTCTGCCAATCTCTCTGTTAAATCAGCACACGAAGTCTGTCATTAATCAGGGGGTTGGATTCCAGACCTAAGGCATCGTTCCCAAATTTCAGGGCTTCTGGGCTCATCAGATTCTTAGACTTGAGTCATTCAAGGGGGCTGCTCATCTTTCTGGCTAAACACGCTTGTGTATGCCGCTCCTGCACTAGCAGAATTTACTACTAGCATTCCTTACATTCACCCGTGAGCCCTCTGTCGCAGATTTCGGGAGCTGTGGTTGAAGCACCTGACATTTCTGCACTAGAGGCCTCTGCTGTATGGACTCTTCACTGAGTCAGGAATTCACTAACTGGTCCTTGGTACTGGACTGCAATTTAGTCACAAACATATCACTATCTAGCTATCTACATGCATGTATTAAAAATTAACTTATAATGAGGGGCACCCGGGTGGCTCAGTCGGGTAAGCATCCGACTTCAGCTCAGGTCACGATCTCTTGGTTTGTGAGTTCGAGCCCGGTGTCGGGCTCTGTGCTGATGGCTCAGAGCCTGGAACCTGCTTCGGGTTCTGTGTCTCCCTCTCTCTGCCCTTACCCCGCTCTGCCTCTGTCTCTTAAAAATAAATATTGTAAACATTCAGGAGGCAGAAGTGAAAGACTCGATCTCTAGAGCAGCTGGACGAAATGGGATGGGGTTTGTGAGGCACCTGACAGCAGCAGCACCTGGGTTCCTTACAGGGACCGTTATATTATTAGTGTTAGAAACAGTGCTGACTCCAGGTTCCCCTTAAACCGTGTGCTGTGTGGCTTCCTAATGTCTACTCTGCTGCTTGGAGTCCGCGCACTGGACAAGATGGAAGAAAGAGCGGTGCCCCTAACCGGGTGACCGCTGGAACCCCAGGTGTGGGGCTTAACCAGGCTCAGTGCTCCCACCGGCGTCTCCCTCACCCACGCTCCCTTACCTCACCCAGGCCTCTGGTGTGCAGAAGTGGATGCCCCCTCCCAGCCCGCTTCCCAGCCTCCCAAAAGTCAGAATGGACGGCCGTACCTGAGCAGGTCCTCCCATCCCCTCGGAAGCCGATGGAGCACTCGCAGGCGAACTGAACCCCAGGGCCAGGGCGACAGGCCGCGTTGGTGTCGCACCCATGAGTGCCGACGTAGCAAGGATTCTGGAGGGCATCGGGAGAGCTGTCTGTGAAGCAGAGACATGGAAGCCAAGTGAGTTTTCAGAAACGCCTGTGGGTGTCCTCCTTCCACAGAAAGGAATGCGTAACTGATGAGCAGGAGAACAGCAGAGGGTTCTGGAACAAGATACCAGACTCCTGTGTCACTAGGGGGCAGTATCAGCAAACTACATCCCTCCAGATCCATGCCTGTTTTTGTAAATAAAGTTTTATTGGAAACAGGCCGCATCCATTCACTTGTGAACAGCCTATGGCTGCTTTTGTGCTATAATGACAGAACTGAGATCTTGTGACAGACACTGTACAGCTGGCCAAGCCGAAATATTCACTACCCAGCCTTTTAAGAAAAAATGTGCCAACCTCAACGCCTTGAGCTACAGTTGTCAAAGGAGGGAGAAAGACACCCGCCCTCCTGATTTGCGGAACTGCGGAAGGACAAACATGGTCAGCTGGAGAAGTGACCTGGGTGTGGAGGAACCACCAAAAATAACCAAAAAAGAGAAAGACCTTAAAACCCAACCCGAAAGATACGGAACCTCTGGGGCCTGGAGATTGGGATGACGTGAAGTCTGACCCCGAGATGTCGCGCTTGCTCTCCAAATGCCAGCTTCTTCCACGCAGCCAGAAGCATGCACAGACCAGACCTCAGCACCAGCGATGTGCTGTCACAGGGCAGAAGGTGTGGAGGCTCCATGCCCGACTTTCATCAGACTGTATTTAGATTTCCTCAGGCCCTGAGCACACATTCCCTTCAAGACTTAGCATGAGCATGCTCTAAGTGCCCTGCTGAAGCCTGCTGTAGCCTTTTGGACAGTCCGCTCCGTGAGGTAACTCAACGAGTTAGCATTCTTCACTCCACCCCAAACAGAACAATGAAGCGGCCTTAGGTTAGCAGAACAGAGGTGCCTAAGTTTTCTAAGAATCATAGATGATGAGATTATTTCGTCTGTAGGGACATATTTTAGCATACTTTCTTCTCACTGAGAGTAAAAGATGAAAAATAGTACGCGAAAGAGCGGAGATACATGTGCGGGCAGGCACACAACGCCCATTCCTACCCCTCACGGGACCGATGGAATTGCTTAGCGCATAGCGCAAGATCCTCTCCTCCTGGTTGTACAGGACGAACACGCTGTCCACTGAGAGTTGCTGGGTGTTGGGCAGGGTCGGCCGGGAAGTGTCATGGGTGCACTCCTGGAAGGTGATGGTTTGGCGCCATTGGTAAGTATAGATGGTAGAAGGGGTAGCGCCATCTTGCTCAGGCTCCATCACGGTGTACTCCCGCGTAGAGGACGATGTGATCACTGGGATGTGGTGAGGGGGGAAGAAGGGAGACCAGGCAGGGAGACAAAGGAGGCAAGCAGCTTAGTCAAGGGCTTTAAAACTATTGGCAATATTCCCTGCCCAGCTGAGATATCACACGTAACAGGTTACAGAAGATCATTTATTTCTGTACTGGGACTCATTCTGCAGATTTCCCATACTATGATTACAACTATTTGCATTGTAATATTTATTGCTTTCTCTCATCACGTGCTCTTTATAAGTTCTGAAGTCACCCAGAGCCAACCCAGAGATTAAGATCTGGTGGAAAGAGCACATGCTTGGAAGCAGATACATCTGAACTTAACACACCTTGCACTACTGCTCACAAGGTGTGTGATCACAGACCGGTTACAACTCTAGTCTCAGTTACTTCTACAACATGGGCTGGGGTGAGAACGACATAATGTATGTAAAATTTCTGGCCTCAAGCAGCCTACCACTATTAAGAGAAACTACTATCTCTGGTACTCATCTATGGAGCATTGAGCACGTGACTAGCAGAGCGTTAACTGCTCTATATTAGTTATCTCACTTGAGATTCAATAAATAGTGGCTGCTATATATAACCCTAGATCAAGCATTTTTCCTGTATAGAAAATGAGACACTAAATGGGTTTCAGTAACTAGTTCCTGAAAAATTACTAAAGTGCTGTGAGCCAATCTCAACAGAGAAGAGAGAAAGACTTCCCCACTCAGAAAAGCCTCCTTCTAACCCATATGATGAAACTCTCAACTTCCTATTAAAAAAAAAAAAAAGGAATAAAAGGCTCTTTATATTTGTGTGCTCTGATGTAGTTCATAACAAAAGTCAGAGGATAAATTAAAGATTAGTGTAAGCTGCCTGCTGTCTAGCTCCCACGTGCTGTGCTGCCAGAAATACCATCTGGATGCAGGCTGACCGCAGACTGGGGTCCTATGCCCCAGCCCCGTCATCCCCAGGAGAGCCCAATCAAGCCACAAAGCCTCGGCAGTTAGTACGACCTTTGAGGATGGCAATTTAATAAGAGCCTTCAAAAAGTCCCTATTGTTTGGCTCAGCAGTTCTATTTCTAGGAATTGAATCTTAGAAAAGAATCAGAAGTTTGGTCAAGATTTCTGATGAAGATGGTCATTTCAACTCATTCTAAGATGGGAGAATTGGAAATAACTTAAACTTTAGAAAACAGAATGGTTTAGGGGCAGCGTTTAGCTCTTGATTTCAGCTCAGGTCACGATCTCACAGTTCATGAGATCAAGCCCAGCGTTAGGCTCTGCACTGACGGCGCAGAGCCTGTCTGGGATTCTCTTACTCCCTCTCTCTATCTGCCCCTTCCACACTGTGCGAATGCATGATCAGTAAGCTTTCTCATTCTCAAAATACGTAAACATGAAAAAAAAAAAAGAAAATAGAATGGTTTAAATTAATAGCCATATAATAGTACAGATCCATTAAACAGTGTTTTCAAAGTCTACTGAAAATGAAGATATAATAATGTGGTATAACTGCAAATTTACTTAAATAAAAACTATATACTGAATTGTAGAATATGTACTAGAATTCCATCAATGTTAAATTTCCTGACTCTGTGACTGCTGTACTGTAGCCACAAAAGAGAATGTTCTGGTTCTTAGGAAAAATAGGTGACTTATTTAGGGGATGGAAGATCACAATGACTACAACTTATTCTCAAAAAATATGTATTGTTTACAATATATATATGTATGTGTATATGCAAGAGAAAAAGTAAATGTGGCAAAATGTTAACAATTGGTGAAGCTGGGTCAATGGCAGATGTAAATTACGCTGTTTTCAACCTTTTTTGTTAATTTGAAATTATTTAAAATAATAGGTTAAAATATAGATATATACATATGTACGTATATATATATATATATAGTTACATATAGATGTAATATCCATGTTGTACATTATATTCCTGGAGACTTATAAGATCTATGTTGAGATGTTATATATATGTTGGGGTACTATATATATACACATATATATATACACACATATATACAAATATATGTATATATACATATACACAAAAATATATATATATGTATATAGACACACACATGCACACACATATGGGGAAAAGGCTGAAAGGAATTCAATGCATTTAAATCTAATAATAATGATGTCCCAGTTTTACCATTATGCTTACTTTACAAGTGGGTACTATGTCTGTAATTAGGGGAAAAAGTGATTTTGATAAGCTAGTACCCAGCTATTTCCTCTCCAAAGCCCAGCCCGGGGCCGCTGCAGCAGTGGGCAGGTCGGAAGCTGGGACTGCACTCCACCCTCCCACCCCACACCCCCCACCGGCGCCAGCTGCTCACCCCCGGGGGAGTAGTGGTAGAGCTCGGTGTAGGGCTCGATGTGCACTGAGGAGCCGAAAGGGATCTGCGGCACATGGCCCTCCAGCTCCGTGTTGATGGTCAGGTGTCCATGCTCATCGATGCCGCTGAACTGCTGCTTGATGACCAGCTTGCCTGGGTGCCCCACGAAGGTCACCTCGGCCTGGCGGGTGAACTCGCCTCCTGGAAAGCAAGGGTGGTCTGTCACCTTTGACATCTGGGACACCCCCTCCTGTCGGCCCAAGGCTCCCGGTGCTGCTCCTGAAGGAGGCTCGGACCTCCTCTACAGGTGCTTTCGTCTGATTGGTAGAAATGGAGCTGGGGACACCAAGGACAGAGTGGGGACATCCTTGCGGCCCAACTGAGGGATGCGTATTGGAGAGACAATTCCCAGCCCCACCACTGCATCGGGATGGGCGGGCTCAAGAATGGTGCTGGAAAAACACAAAGTACCAGCTGCGATAGGTACTAACTGGGTGAACCAGAACAAGTCACCTAACCCCACTGAGCCTCCATTTCTTGATGACAAAGGAGTGATACATGGGGCGCCTGGGTGGCTCAGTTGGTTAAGTGCCGACTTCGACCCAGGTCATGATCTCCCCGTTCATGGGTTTGAGCCCCGCTTCAGGCTCTGTGCTGACAGCTCAGCACCTGGAGCCTGCTTCGGTCTGTGTCTCCCTCTCTCTCTGCCCCTCCCCTGCTCACACTCTGTCTCTCTCTCAAAAATAAATAAGCATTTAAAAAAATTCAAAATATCGCCACTTTAATTAACCCGCACATAAAGCAACACCAGCATGAAATGCTGTGCAGGGAAGGACTAGCATTTGTGGGTCTGACTGCAAAGCTCAACTCCGTCTGCCAAGGGAAGAGCACATGTGCACAAGAACATGAACACCGTTATACGACTCAGGATATACATGCCTGAGGGGCAGAGGGAAGAAATATTAGGCCAAACATTAGATATCTTAAGGGTAGGTGCACCCTTTTCCTAATACATAGCCTTTCCTTTTTTTTTTTTCTTCTTTTTAATGTTTTATTTATTTCTGAGAGAGAGAGAGAGAAAGAGCGTGAGCAGGAGAGGGTCAGAGAGAGAGGGAGGTACAGAATCTGAGACAGGCTCAGGCTCTGAGGTGTCAGCATAGAGCCCGACGCGGGGCTCGAACCCACGAACCGTGAGATCATGACCCGAGACGAAGTTGGACACTTAACCGACTGAGCCACCCAGGCAGCCTGCCTTTCCTTTCTTAAAATGGCCCCATTTCAGCATGTCTTTATGCTTTGTAACTTTTGGAGGGTTACCCTTGTAAAGCCTAGAGACCCTGATTTCGGGGTGTTTCCTCAATAAAGCCATGGCCGAGGCTCCAGCAAGGGGAGGCAGTGGTGGAGCAAATGAGGGCAGTGGCTGGGCACCTGTGACCCACAACAACAGGCTCCAGGTCCCAGGAGGAGCCGGGGAAGAACAACCTGCACCCAAGTTGTTCTAGAAAAGGGCTTCTAGCATGCATGGGGCCGCTGGCCTCAGCAGAGGCTGCGACCACTCTACAGAAACCTTCTTCCCACCACATGCCCGTCTGTCCGCTGAAGATTGAGCTTTCCCCAGCAGGGCACAGGCTCTAAGAAGCTCCAAGGAAAGTTAGGTTTTCTAAGACGCAGGGAGATTATGTTTATAAGGTTTAATTTAGCAGATAGAAATGGCAGGTTCCTTTCCTCCAAGCAGATACTGAAGAACCGTGAAGTATCAGTTCAGATTGGTTGGGAATCTGGAGGCAGGCTTGATAACCAGTGAAACTGTAAGCCCCACACTTTGCGGTGTGAGGATGTATAAAATGACTTCACCTGCTCTGCTGGAGATCTCTAAGTCCCACCCCCGCTCCTCGGCATGAAATCACTCCCTGCTCACAATGCAATTCAAGATAGCTTTAGTTAGTACATGTTAATGAAAAAATGGATGATTTGACCTCAACGTCTTATTTCTGGAGCCACAAAATGTTCCTCGGTGAGTTTTTGCAGACATGAAGTTCCCCTTGCCTTCACCCCCCAGCCCTCCCAGGGCCCCCAGGCACCACTGGGAGGCCCGTTAATTGCAATGTCTGAGATAAATTACCAGTGATGCTGAACCCATTCTTGAATCCATCTTGTTCCACTGCAAACATCCATCCAATGATGCCTCCGACAGGGGCCAGAGGAAGCAGAGAATAGCCGACGGTCTCGGGGATGGTGCTGATGGCTGTGTACGAGCGCCCGTGGTTCATCACCACGTAAGAGTGGAGGTCGGTGTTCTCGAAGACAATGGGCACCGGGCTGCTTCCCACCAGAATCCTTCCTTTCACTTTGCCATTGACTCGCTGAGGGGAGCCTGAGCAAGAAACAAAGAAGCCAGCCTTTGAACAAAAGAATAACATGCCCAAGAGGCCCCACACCTATAAAGTAAGTTAGAAATTCCAATGTCCTGGGGTGTCTGGGTGGCTCAGTCAGTTGGGTGTCTGACTCTTGATTTCGGCTCAGGTCACGACTTCATAGTTTGTGAGTTCGAGCCCCACGTCAGGCTCTGTGCTGACAGCTTGGGTCCTGCTTGGGATTCTCCCTCTCCATCTGTCTCTCTGTCCCTCCTTGGCTTGCTTTCTGTGTGTGTGTCTCTCTCTCTCTCAATCTCAAAATAAATAAACGTTTTAAAAAGAAAGAAATTCCATCAGTTATTGACCGCACATATCCTGTTTCTCTTCCTAGAGTACTAGGGACAGGAATTTTCCTACCCAGCTCCTTCGCTTGGTCTCTGCAGAGTTTTCTGCACATAGTTAAGTTCTCAATAAAGTCTGGTGACTAACACTAGACAGAGGGGCTTGCACCTGAGCGTCATCGCCATATTCGGAAGACCTTTCGCTATGCTCAGGCTGCCCAAGCTGTTAAACGGGGTCACTGACAAGCCAAAGCATACTAAACACACACAGAAATTCTGCACACAAATTGTGTCATTACATTGGGGAATGCTATTAAGTTTGGACGACTAATATCAAAAAAATGCATCCCCTAAACAATTACAGAAACGGGCAGGAAAGCCAAGTTAAGGAAACCAAACAAATTTTTTCCACCAAACCTTGAGCCAGAAAAATGTTTCAAAAGTAGCAAGAATCCAACAAATATTTAAACCACAGAACTATTATGGGGCGTGTATACTATGTCAAAATATGTAGCGAACAGTTTGTTATATCTGAGCTTGCCACCAAATACACTGCTAGCACTGCCAGCTCTGATATTTGGCACGGAAAGAGCTCAGGAGGTTGCTCTTTGAGAATAAGCTCTCATTGTAGGTTCTGGAAGCTTCTCTCAGGGTGAGAGAAGTATAAAAGCCAAGCCTAAAACAAAGGAGTAAAGGCACACCATACCTGGGGGTGGGAAGAGGGATTTAAAAGAAAACAGAAAACACATTTACAGACATTCAAAACCTCCCCCTAAATTAACATGAAAAGTACACATGATTTTCTTTCATTGCTTCAGACAGTATTTAACAAAACTCACTGTATCTCATTGTGACACAGAAGAATAAAAAAAGTTTTTTAAGCAAATTAAAATAACTGATTTTACTACAGCTATGGCTGGGGGTATGAAAAACAGAAAGCATTTCTGCAACTGAGTTTTATTTAGTCAAATTATGCAAAGCAGTTGAAGTCCCTCATGAAACACAAGGAAAATGGCCGGTGACAAGCGAGGTGAGTTGAGTTGGTGTCTGAAGGGACAAATCTTCAGTATGGTAGGGTTTTTGTTGGTTTTAATTTTATGGACCTAACCTCCCAGATGCCTCACTGTCTGGCCCTCTAGACTTTCACTGAGATTCTTTTTGGGTGCAGAGCTCAGAGCTGATGTGAACCCACATGTGAACCCAGAATGTGAAGCCATTCTGGAGTCAGCCCCCCGTGGGTCTGGTGCCCAGAATTAACTGGTGTGCCCCTTATGCTCTACCATCATCATGCTGTGATTTTAGGAGCATGAGGGAAGGACCACCCAAGGGGAAGGGTGAGCAGAACAGACTTCTCCCCCCTACAAACTCTGGTCCACACCCGCCCACCACGGCCCAGCTGGACTTTAACAACCATTAGGACACTCAAGTCTGCGAGCAGTGCCATACGGGAGGCTGGAAAGAAACTGAGGAAAACGAGAGGCATTAGGCACAGGCGCAGTCTGCATTATTTCAAAACTTCAGCCTTTGTCCAACACTAGGGGCAGTTATAAAGATGGGCTCATTTCAAAGATGGTGAAAAAATATAGCACAGGAAAGAAAGAGACCTCACCATGTTAGAAAAATGGGCATTTCCCGAGAACGACCCTTCAGGGAAGGATGACAAAGAATGGGAAGGAGAGATTCAATATGATCGCCCCACAAAGAGTACCCACCTTAGAGATCTGGGTAAAAGCCAACATTTCAAAGCAAGCACGAAAACAAAAACTCCACTCCCTCCTTCTCACCACACAAACGGAACACACAAAAAGCCAAGTACCTTCGGCAACACACTGTCGGCCGTTTCCGGTGTAGCCAGCAACGCAGCTGCAGCAGAAGCCCGTGGCGAAGTCCCTGCATTCCGCGTGCACAGAGCACTGGTGTCTGTTGTTGGCGCACGTCTGGCGGGAATCCGTGTTGTAGCTGAACACTGTTCCGGGGAAAACACGGCACACCTGTTAGCGTGTGCGGGGCGCGGACCAGGCTTGGTTAATTACACTGCACCCCCAAGCCCTTCCCGACCACTTGGGCGATTCCAGGGCCAGTGCTCACTACCTGTAGCTTCTTACATAGTGTGGTGGCTCCAGTACGCAAGCCATCAAGGCAAGTGGGTCTAAAGGGAGTTTTGAGGAATCACAGGGGTGAATTATTAAGCAAAGCTATGAATACTGGATCATGCAGTCAATATTCTCACCCTATCAATATTAGGTTACTACCACCAAATACAATCTTAATATGGTGTCCGTATAATGTAGTCAAATCGGCTTCATGTTTTGGGGCAGACCTTTACATTTTTTTAGGTTTATTTATTCATTTTTGAGAGAGACAGAGAGCGAGCGAGTGGGGGAGGGGCAGAGAGCACAAAGGAGAGAATCTCAAGCAGGCTCTGCACTGTCAGCACAGAACCCAATGCAGGGCCTGAACTCACAACACTCGAGATCATGACCTGATCCAAAACCAAGAGTCTAACCAACTGAGCCACCCAGGCACCCCTAATTTTTTTATTTTACTATTTCTTATTGTGGCAAAAGAAAATTACACATAGAGATCTATCTCATAAAATTTGTCATTTTAATGATCTAAAAATATTTTAAACTTTGTTGCCTCTTTCTTCTCCCCAGGGGAAAACTCAAGAAGCTCTTATACTCGAAAGCTGATTAAAAATAATTCCTTAGTCATCCTTGGTCTAAAGGCTTTTGACCCAAGAAACGAAAAGAATTTCTATTTCAAATTCTTACTTCCCAGGTTCATTTTATTAGAACTATGAACTAGCTCATTAAATTTAATAATCCAGAGCAAATTAATTTGGAATGAACTTCAAAAGCACAAGAGGGATGGACTTTCAGAGGGGATAATGATCCAATTTATAACTGTTATGAGGGAAGATAAAAGTAAAGTTTAACCTCAGGTAGATTTGATTAGTCTACACCCTCAGAAGGGAATTTCCAGTGTGTATAAAGGCGGCTTTTGGAGCAGGGAACACTCAGGCTCTGAGCTGAACACACAAGATGTGACTAATTACTTTAGCTCTCACTGTGGGCCCAGCTCCCAGTGGGTCCCTAATGGCCTGTGTATCTGTAGGTGACTTTTCACATAACACCAGGAATGTACTGCTGGCTGCAGGAGACTGACCTTTCTAATAAAAACAGTGAAATAAAACAGTGGGATGGAGGGTTGGAAAACATCTGTTCTAGTTTGGGCTTCAAGTCTAGGCTTTTATCGGTACCAAATAATATACTACCATAAGCTGTTGGTGCTAGGTATGATGAAGGCTTCACAAATGAGAATGTCAGAGACATCTAGACAGGGGAAAGCAGAATAAGATTCCAGACTCAACATCTACAAATAAACATATCCTACATGTCTAGGGGAGATCAGTCTGGAACAACATATGCAAATAAACATACCCCACATATCTGGGGGGATCGGCCTAGAACAAGGTCTACATGTAAACATAATCCACATATCTGGGGAGATTGGTCTAGAACAATGTCTCCATGTAAACACCCCATTTATCTGAAGGGATCAGTCTGGAACAAGGTCTATAAGTAAACACACCCCATGTATCTGGGGGGATTGGTCTAGAACAAGGTCTACATGTAAACATAATCCACGTATCTGGGGAGATCGGTCTGGAACAAGGTACGAGTAAACACACCCCACGTATCTGGGGGGATCAGTCTGGAACCAGCTACAATCACAGACTGCCATGTGCTAGATGTTAGTGGCATGTGTAGGGAGCCCTGAGACATGAACCCAGGACCTCATCACGCCACTAAGCAGTAACTTCTCCATTTCTGTGCCTAAAAAGTAAGTAAGTACTCTTCCTCTGCCCACCAGATCTTGTCCGTGCTTTGGGATATTCAAAAGGAACAAACACATATGAGGAAACAAATACAGAGTGAGTAATGCGGGATGGAGTAGATTTATCTGCGGGCCTTAAAACTTCATAGTAGAGGCAAGAAAGAGTCACAATAAATATCATTTAAAGGCTTGGGCCATCTCATTTATACGAATGGTAATGGATTATATGTCAGCCTAAAGAGCAAAACCTAAAAAATACAGCTTCATTTGAACTTCTTTTATAAGAAAAATCAAAGCACGCTGGAGCCCAAATGGCTTTCCCTCAGAATGCAGCAAAAATCTGATAGAATGTGGATGACTAGAAGAGATTGCATTTTAAAACCATCTTTTGGGGTGCCTGGGTGGCTTAGTCGGTTAAGCGTCCAACTTTCACTTAGGTCATGATCTCGCGGTTCGTGGGTTCGAGCCCCACATCGGGCTCTGTGCTGACTGCCAGCTCAGAGCCTGGAGCCTATTTCAGAGTCTGTATCTCCCTCTCTCTCTGACCCTCCCCTGTTCACGCTGTCTCTCTCTCTCTCCCTCTCTCCTAGAAATAAATAAAAATATTTTTTAAAAAATTAAAAAAAATTAAAAAAATAAAACCATCTTTTAAAAAGGCTCTGTTTGTGTTGGATTTTTAAATCTTCACAAACCAAATCTGAAGCTGATGGGACTGGGGAGGAAAAATAATCAACCATTCTCAATCCAAAACCAAGAGGAAATAAACGTCAAAGATAAACTGCGTCAACAGCCAAAGAAACTTCGAAAATGTTTTTTCAGGTGGGTGGATAGATGTCGGACCCCAGAAGTCACCAACAAGAACACTGGACTTGCAAAATAATTCCAAAGCACTTTTCTCTTTAAAACGGACAGAAAGGAATCAGAGGAAACTTGAAAGAGAACCGCTCAGTGGTCCCCCGTCAGCGCAGCCCTAATCCCAAAAGATCCCTTGGTGTCTTTGAAGCCATCAGGCACAGGCACCTAAGTTCCACAGCAGCGAGCGAGGTCTGCCTCCACTTCCCCAGCTTACATCCTCACAAACCGCCATGTGAGACACACAGCTGACATCCCTCTAGCAGGGCTCCCGTCTGGAAACCTAGGTGCCCAGAAACATACCAGCTGCAACCTTCAAGGCCTTACCCACTCCTGTTTCCTCAACTTCATCCACATCAATGACCTGTGGGTGCTGCTGGCGAAACCTCTCCCCTGGTAGCTGGAAAGATCGGGTCCTCTCTGTGGGAGGTCCAGGAGGTCCGGCGGGTCTCTCGGTGGGCAGGTGGCGGGGGGAAAGGACCCAGGGCACGCTGCGGATGCTGGGGTCTCCGCTTCTCGGAGACTCATAGGGGAAGGATGTCGTGCCCACGTCCTCCAGGCCCAGATGTGTCACTGAGTCGTAATCTTCATCATCATATTCTGCTCCATCGTCCAGTCCGAGGCTCACGTCAGAGGGCACCACGCCGCTGGCTGTGGCCGGGCTCCCGATCTCAAACACCCAGACGCCCTGCTGCCCAGAGTTACTGCTCCTAGAGGGGAGGAGGGGCTTCTTAGAAACAGGCCAGCAGCCCACAACATGCCCCCGCTAACCAAGCAGAAGGACCCCTGGGGGTCTGGCACCAGCCTGAAAGCCACCGCCTACTTCGTCTTTGTCTCTGGTTCTGCCATAGAGCTCCTGAAATCCTCATAATCTCTGGAGTGATGAGATGTTCTTTTCTTTGCTAATGAATGACTGGTGGCTGTGACCCTGGGGAGCTTCAGGATGGGGGCTGGGCAGTAGAAAGACCAGCGCAAGGCTAGAGAGTTGGAACTTTCAGCCCCACGCCCTGACTTCCAGAGAGGGGAGAGGGGGTTGGAGATTGAGTTAATCATCAATAGCCGATGAGTTAATCCATAATGCTTATGTGATAAAAACCCCTAAGCGATGAGGTTGGGAGAGCTTTCGAGTTGGTGAACACAAGGGGATGGTGTGCCCAGGGATGGCTTGGAAGCTTAAAACCCCCTCTCCCTCCCACACCTTGCCCTATGCATTTCTTCTGTTTGGGCTGTTCCTGACTTGTGTCCTTTAAAATAAACTGGTGGGGCATCTGGATGCCTCAGTCAGTTAAGTGTCCAACTCTTGGTTTCGGCTCCAGTCATGATCTCATGGTTTGTGAGTTCGAGCCCTACATCGGACTCTGCTCTGACAGCGCGGCACTTGCTTAGGATTCTCTCTCTCTCTCTCTCTCTCTCTCTCCCCGTCCCCCCACTCTCTGCCTCTCCAGCACTCTCACCCTCTCTCTCTCAAAATAGGTAAATAAACTTTTAAAAATAAAATAAAATCAGGGCTCAGTTTAACTGACTGGGTGGCTCAGTCAGTTAAGCAGCCAACTACCACTCAGGTCATGATCTCGCGGATCATGGGTTCGAGCCCCGCCTTGGGTTCTGTGCTAACAGCTCGGAGCCTGGAGGCTGCTTCGGATTCTGTGTCTCCTTCTCTCTGTTCCTCCTCCACTCACACTCTGTCTCTGTCTCTCTCCTCAAAAATAAATAAAGCTTAAAAATTAAAAATAAATAAAAATTTAAAAATAAAATAAAATCGGGGCGCCTGGGTGGCTCAGTTGGTTACACATCGACTTTGGCTCAGGTCATGATCTCACAGTTCATGGGTTTGAGCCCCGCGTTGGGCTCTGTGCTGACAGCAAGCTCAGAGCCTGGAGCCTGCTTCAGATTCTGTGTCTCCCTCTCTCTCTGCCCCTGCCCTGCTCATGCTCTCTCTCCTCTCTCTCTCTCAAAAATAAACAAACATTAAAAAAATTTTTTTAATAAAATGAAATGAACAGGCAATAGTAAGAGAAGTGTTTCTCTGAGTTCTTTGAGCTATTCTAGCAAATTACTGAAACTGAGCAGGGTGGGAGGGTCAGAGAAGCCCCCAATTTATAGAGCTGGTTGATCAGAAGCACAGGCGGCAACCTGGAATGCAGTCTTGTGGGACTGAGCCCTTAGCCAGTGGGGTCCGTGCTCACCTGGGGCTGTCAGTGTCAGAACTGAACTGAATTGTAGGACACCAAGTGGATGTCTAAAGAGTTAAGAGTACTGGTTGGTGAAGGAAAAAAAAAATCCCACCTATTCGGTGTCAGAAGTGTGCATGAAAACAGTACAGACTTGGATGATCAGAAATCCCAACTCTATCAGCTGTGGAATCTGAGACAGGCCTCAGTTTACCTTTTCATGTTCCAAGGGCAGAGTGAGATGCAAAAGAGATTCAAAATCTAAAGGCCTTTTATAAATGAAAAAACACAACAGAATAACCCTAATCTCTCCTCTCGGCACCATGTTTACTGGTCTTCTGTGTCTGCTCGGAAGTGCTATAGAACCTGCAAAATGACCAGCTTCGGCAGTGGAAAGGGGGGACAGACATTACTCAGTGGGGAACACTGAGCAAAATGCTGGGGTGGGGTAGGGGATAAGGAATCCAGAAAGCCCTGTAGATAGAAGATGTGTATTCAATCTGTCTGCCTGGGACTTCCGGGAAATGCAAGGGTACAGAAGCTTGCTAGCACCAGCTCACGAGAACCAGTTGTTAAATGTGAGCAGTTTTGCAAGCCAGTTATTAAACACAGTCATGGTAAGCAATTAAATTACATAAACTTAGAATTAAACAAATGACATTTACAAAACAAAGGCAACCAGTACTTGAAACCCATCACGTTGATTTATTTTACGATCGTCTGTGTTCTGAAGTTACTGGAATCTATGGCATCTGTGGGGTGAGAAAAATGGGTCTCTTCTCAGCTCCATGGTTGAACAACATGAAATGGGTAGCTGGAAAGTGGCCAATAAAGGAGAATTTACACCACGGAAATAGGTAAACAGTATAAATGAGGGCTTTCCTCACCCACATAAAGCCAGTTGCTAAGCACGCTGTTAAGTCAAGGGCAGGGGAGTTTTAGACTCAATTTGACAAAATAAAGTTCGGAGGTGGGGTGTTCTTTCTTCATTTTTTAAAGCATAACGGGAGAGGAAAGAGTTGAGATTCAGAAAAAGCAGTCTGAGCTTTCCCTGCTTCTGCCAAATTCTAGAAAATAGCCCAAGAAAAGTGCCGCCTGTGTGGTGGGAGGAGGTTTTTCTCAGCCCTGGGTTACTAGCAGGAGATAGGGTTTGAATAGCTTGTATTTCTGACTTTACACTTGCAGAGGAGATGGTAGAAACGGTTTCAAATGAGCATGAGATCTAGAAAAGGGGCAACCTGTTCATTCTAAGAGTGTATTACTTTGAGTTCATGAGGGGAAAAAAAGCATTACATAATACAAAAAAAAATTTAAATCTGTGGGAACATTTTTAGGTAATGGTCCATAGTGCCCATCTATCATCCTTAATAAAATAACAAAGTGATCATCTTAATAATGAAATGGTCACGAAGGGGAGAATCGACTGAAGAACAGAGAAAGCGTACTTGGCCAAATTTCCAATGGATTCTCTGTCATTGGCAAATATATTATAAGCTCCATCACTCTTCCATATAAATCCTTGGGCACCTTGACTGAACGCAACCACAGCAGGAACTTGGGTCTCGTCCTTCTTTGAAAATGTCGTGTCGAACTGCAGACCATCTTCAGGATAAAGGAAAATGGCGTAGGAGCTGGAATCAGAGGAGGCTAGAACAGCCTGGAATGTGTTTCTCTGCAAAGAGGAGTTGAGGTTGAGTTACTCGGGAAAATATCAATGGATCTTAAATTGTTCTATTCCCCAGACTATTTAGAGAATGTCCAGAGAATAAGCAGCATTTTCACCTTATTCTAAATGTATTTTTTTTAATGTTTTAGTTTTGAGAGACAGAGACAGAGCATGAGCAGGGGAAGAGCAGAGAGAGGAGACACAGAATCTGAAACGGGCTCCAGGCTCTGAACTAGCTGTCAGCACAGAGCCCGACATGAGGCTCAAACTCACAAACCTAGAGATCATGACTGAGCTGAAGTCAAACGCTTAACTGACTGAGCCACCCAGGCACCCCTAAAAGTATTTTTGTAGCAAGAACCAAGTATTCTAGGATGGCCCCACTTAAAAATCTGAGCCTCTGTCAGCATGAAATTTTCCCATGAATGAATGAACATTTTCTGTGTGAAGAAAAAATTACAGAGATGGTACTTCTAGACCTAAATCTTACGTAACTTAGCAAATTCTTGCCTGTAGAAAGTTTCCACTGCTATGAAACATTTTCAAACATCATGCTAAACATCATGCTAAACTAGCATACATCTGTTGAGCCCAAGCAACACACAGTAAGATGAAATGTAAGCTCTGGGAGAAAACAGATGTGGATTCAACTCCTTGCTTGACTCATCATGGGTTGTGTGACTTTGGGCACGTTGCTTAAATTCCCAGAGCTTGGATTTCTGAATCTGCCAGCTGGAGAGAAAACCATCTACTTCACAGAAATGATAGGAGATCTATGTGAGATATGAAGGGCCAGGCACGGAGAAGATATTCCTTAAATACTGGTTATCTTTCCTACAAATACATGGTCCCTGTGCTTGAAAATTTCCGGGCCAGGTGGGAAGATGGACATGTGAAGAAAATATTGCAAAACTGGGGGACAAGGGTGCCTGGCTCAGTCAGTAGAGCATATGACTCTCCATCTTGGGGTTGAGTTTGAACCCCATGTTGGATGTTAGAGATTAATTAAAAATAAAATTAAAAAAAAACGGGGGACAGATTCTATAAAGGAGTTGTGTGCAAGTGTTACTGGAGCCACAGAAAGAAGGGTCCAACACTGGGAGGGTGGGAACAGACAGGGCTATGCAAGTTGGGAAGATCAAGTACAAGTTCGACACCAGCAGTGGGAGACAGGGAAAGGATGTCCCAAGCAGAGAAGAAAGCAAGTGCAAGGTACTGGGGTTGGGGGGAGGGAGGAGGGTTCAGGATGATCAGAGAATTCCAAACAATTTGGTTCAAGTGCCGCAAAGGGTGTGTGAAGTAAGGGTAAGAGGTAGGCAAAGGGCTCTTTACAAGGGGCTGGGCACTTATCACTCAAGTGACAAGGACGCACCCTTCAGAAACAGCAGGTTTTAAGCAGTTTTCAAGTGCAGCACTCACAGAGATATAAAGAGCAAATGGTGTCGTGCTGGCCCATGACAGGCTTTCCCAAAGGGTGTTCTGTCTTACAGGTCTTATTTGGGAGGGAGAAAACAATATGGCCAAAAGGTTTGGGGACTGCTAAATTTTTTTAAAAAAATTAAGCAGGTGTTGGGGTGCCCGGGTGTCTCAGTCAGTTAAGCACCTGAGTCTTGATTTTTGCTCAGGTCCCGATCTCATGGTTGGGGAGATTGAGCCCCATGCTGGGCTCTGGGCTGGCAGTGTGGGGCCTGCTTGGGATTCTCTCTCTCTCTGCCCCTCCCCTGCTTGCATGCTCCTTCTCTGTCTCTTTCTCTCTCTCTCATTCAAAATAAATAAACCTGAAAAAAATTACGCAGGCGTCTTTATTGTAGGACTTTTCAGAGTAAGTTACCAGGAGAGAGAGAAAGTTCCACATTTCCAAACCTACTTGGCCAGGGGAGGCCTTATTCTCGAAGACTCTCTTGCAGAACTGGTGCTCTGTGGTACTCGCCTTGGGAACTACCCACCTAGAACGTCACATGTTTGAATGGAGTGGATGGGGACCTTTCAAGTTTCTCTCTCCTCCGTAATACCGTAAACATTAAATAACGATGGAGGGAAATTACTTTTCTAAAGAGAAGCAGAGGCATGTCCTAAAAAGTGACTTCAGATCTAGATGTGGCTTCTCGACTTACTCAAGTATCTTCCTTCCTTCGAGGAAGACCAAAGTGTGCAGCTAACCTGTGGACTATTTGCACTTGTCTCGGGGTGAGCACTTACCTTGCCCTCCTGGGTGGGGTCCTTGCCGGGCCCTTGGTATGGAGCCACGGATTCCCAAGTGACGACCACTGCACTACTGGGCTGGAAAGAGATTTCTGGAAACCCTCTCTGGACACACTCTCCTGCCAGCTGAGTGACAGAGGGGGAGAGGTCTTCCCGGTAGTAAACCTTCCCGAAGCCATCTGTCGTGTCCAAGTCCGCCAGGAAAGGAGCAACTACGCCGAAAGTTGGTGGGAAGAGCCCGGGGGAGGATTCTTTGGCCGGGGGTTCACTCATGGCAATAATGCCATTTGTGGTGACCTGTCCAAAACCAAGCACAGTTAAGAGGCATGCAGAAAAAATGTCTTCCTCAGGGACTCTGAGCTGCCACTCACAGAACACTGCCACAGGTACCCCCGTCTGCCAAATGCAATGGAACCGGAGAAGGGCAAGATCCTGGATGGGAAAACTCAGGACGGCCCTCCTCACAGGATGGCCCGGTGGGAGGTGCATGGGGTGAGAATCACAGGACCTGACTCTGGCATGGACCAGTCACCCTACCTTGGACACATGTCCTGAACTTTAAATCTTGGGCTTTCCGTGTATGCGTGCTTTGTACTTCGCAAAGCACCGCTCACACATAAACCATTATGAAAGCCTTCATTATGATCCCCAGCGAATTGACCCATCAGAACATACCAGGGCTGGGCCAGAGTGCTGGGGGTCCCAAAATGGGTAGCACCCAGTCTCTGCCTTTCAAGATCCCACGATCCTGAAGGGTATGGGGAAGGACTGACACAGACGATGATACAATATGTAATGAGATGAGGAGTAACTTTGGGGGCACCTGGCTGGCTCAGTCAGTAGAACATGGGACTCTTGATCTGGGGTCATGTGTTCAAGCCCCTCTTTGGGTGTCAAGCTTACTTAAAAAAATAATAAATAAATAAAATACATTGGAAGCGTAGATCTTTAAAAAAAAAAAAAAAAGTATTAGGAGTGCCTGGGTGGCACAGTCAGTTGAGCATCTGACCCCGGTTTCAGCTCAAATCATGATCTCACAGTTGGTGAGTTTGAGCCCCGCATCAGGCTGTGCGCTGAGGGAGCAGAGCCTGTTTGGGATTCTGTCTCTCCCTCTCTCTGCCCCTCCCTTGCTTTCTCTTAAAGTAAATAAATAAACTTTAAAAAATTTTTAAAGAAAGAAGTACATTTAAATGGCTCATTACGGTATCATTAATTATTATGTCTAGTTTAATGTCAGAATAGTAGCTAACACTTACTGAATGTTTACCATGTTCCAGGCATCCTTTTTTTTTTTAAGTTTATTTATTTATTTTGAGAGAGATGAAGAAGCATGAGTGGGGGAGAGGCAGAAAGCAAGAGAAACCGAGAATCCCAAGAAGCTCCTCACTATCAGTGCAGAGCCCGACACAGGGCTCAAACTCATGAGAGGTGAGATCATGACCTGAGCTGAAAGCAACAGTCAGACCCTTAACCAACTGAGCCACCCAGGTGCCTCCATGTTCCAGACATCTTATTAACCTTTAATCCTCAGCAGAACTCCATAAGACTAGCTACTATTATTATCCACATTTTTCTGATGGAGAAAATGAGGTAAGTTAAATCAATTTGTCCAAAGGTCCCAACAAGCATCAGCACTGGGATTCGAACCCAGGGAGCCAGACTCCAAAGTTGGCCCTCTTTAATCACTGTGTACAGCCTTCTTGAAATGAGTTTTAACTCCCTATAGAAAGAGCTTAGTGTTCTTATCCAGCTAAACCCACACTCCTTAGGAAAAAAGGGAGCCCCTTGATTGAAGGCACTTGGTGGGGGTGCTTGCATCTCCTGCAAAGCCAGGCTAAGCATGAGGCTTTGACCCCCTCACTCTTTCTTGTTAGTGCACAATCCTGTGACAACACAGAACACCACTCCGGTGCTCTTTTTACCCCAAGAATTTGTGAATAAAAATGCCCTCGTGGTGCCTGGGTGGCTCAGTCGGTTAAGGGTCTGACCCTTGATTTCGGCTCAGGTCATGATCTCGCCGTTTGTGAGTTTGAGCTCTGCATCAGGCTCTGTGCTGACAGTGCAGAGCCTGCTTGGGATTCTCTGCCTCCCTCTCTCTGCCCTTCTCCTGCCTGTGCTTGCTCTCTCTCTCTCTCTCTCTCTCTCTCTCTCAAAAATAAATAAACTTTAAAAAAATGCCCTAAGCAAATGGAAGAGACTTTGCAAATTGCACCTCAGTCTGTACTTTAAGAGGCTGTGAATTAGAAGAACATGAATGCAAACAAGGGGCTCTTTATTGTTAAGGAGTTGATCAGAAGGCTTTTGGGGGGAAGGGGGTTTGGGTTTTCCAAGTCACTTATCCCCCCACCCCCAGCCTTCTCCTCCACTCGCTACAGACCTCATTACTAGAGGAGGGGGCGGGGTAGATACTAAGAAGAGCACTTCAGACCAGACCCTGCAACAGGCCGAGAACTGGGTGAAAAGGTTCAAAGGGGTGGAGCAGATCTGGGCCCCAGAAGAGAAAGTCGCAAGAGTTCTGGGAGTGTGCGTGGACTTTGCAAAGCCCTTCCTTTACACCAGGCTTCACGGGCCGTTAACTGTTAGGACACGATTCCCAGTGCCGTCTGGCATGGCAATGGTTTTCTGGGCATGCTGGCAGGCTGCGGGGAAGGGGCGCGGGGAAGAAGCCCTGGTTCCTCACCCTCTCGCCCCCCCAGCCCATGTGCACCTCTCCCTGCACGGACATCTCAGCGGGGCTGGCATGTGGGGGCGTGGGAAAGAGCTCGCTTTCCCAAAGCCTCCAGAGGCTGCCAGTTACCAGCCGCTAGTGGGAAGCGATCACAGGGAGGCCACATGCACACAACTTAAGTTTCAAAAAGCTGTTTTCCGGTGACATTTCAGTCCCACAATTTGGAAAATATTCCCGGTGTCTTTTCTTGTTTAGAATCTGGGCACGGGGCTGTTTCTATTACCAAAAGGAATGCTTTGGGAATCGAATTTTTAGACGAGTATCGAGAAGCACTGCAAATGCTCTGGACACAGACCATATAACCCTTTTTAGTATTCATCCTGGACAAGTATTTTTCAGCCATTTTTTATGGTACATTTGGCTCAATTTTTGGTGATAACGAAGGAGGATGACGTCAGAGTATAAATGTTATAAACAGAACATCCAGAAGTATCATCTGACTCTTAGCTTTAAACTTCTCCCCGGGGGTGCCTGGGTGGCTCAGTCGGTGAAGCTTTCTGACTTGTGGTTTCGACTCAGGTCACGATCTCAAGCTTTGTGAGTTCGAGCCCTTCATGTGGCTCTGTGGAGCCTGCTTGGGATTCTCTCTTTCTCCTCTCTCTCTCTCTAAGTAAATAAATAAACTTAATAAAAATAAGCTTTAAAAAGAAAAAACTCCCCAGTAAATGTTTCTTTTCCTGTTTAAGACCACCAATTAATGGCTGACTTCAACAATATTCTCTTACATTTGGATGCCAGTCTCACTGCACAAATCTGTCAAGTGTGTGATGCTCCCATTGTCTTGTTCTTTTTCCCCTTCTTAAAGTTGAGCAAGCAATAGAAGCACAGGGAGCACAAAGGGAAGGGGCTAGAAGGTACTTAGGAGGTCAGGAGGATGGACACGGGCACTACAATCTCCAAAGGAAACAGAGCGGGGACACAGAGATTCATGCCATTCACCCCATTGTCTAAGCCAGGCAACTGGAGAGCTGGCCATGATTCTCTCCTGTTTCTCACCCATGTCCCCTGTGTCCCATCTTCAAGGTCCCTGGCATGCTCTCCATCCCTGCCACCACCAGCACCCTCTCCCTGGCCCCAAACAGTCACATGACTGGCTCACTGTCACCCTCCAGAGCTCAGTGAGGTACAGCCTCTAAAAGAGGCTTCTCCATCTACCCACTATGGTCTCCTCCTGTTCCTTCCTCTCTTCCCTCACTCCCTGGCCCCGCATTTCTGTTCCCACTTCCTGTTCATTTCCTTCCAAGTGTGGAAAACGATGTGTATGACATTATTTACTCATCTGCTGGCCCTCGCTGCTTTCCCCATGAGGCAATATGTCCCTACAAAAGATGGGACCGTGTCCACCTTGGTTACTACCGTAGCTGCAAAGCTCATACACCACCTGGCATGTGTTATTCCCCTCCCTTCCTGACTTCCTCCAGAAAATGGGGTGGGGAGATTCATACAGAAGAAGGCCTGAATACCAAGGTGTTCCAGAAATAATGCCCAGAGGCGTGTGAGCTCCGTTTGTGAGCGCAAGAAGGATCGCAGTGTAATGTGTCATGGTGGTTGTGTCACGGTGGTCCTTGCCACTGCACCAATGATTAAAACAAAAAGTCTGGGGGCACCTGGGGGGCTCAGTTAGTTAAGCATCTGACTTTGGCTCAGGTCATGATCTCATAGTTGGCTGTGTGCTGAAAGCTCAGAGCCTGGAGCCTGCTTCTCTGCCCTTCCCCACTCACACTCTGTCTCTCTCTCAAAAATAAACATTTTTTAAAAATTTATTTTTAAAAATAAAACAAAGATAAAACAAAGATGCCTGGGTGGCTCAGTTGGTTAAGCGTCCAGCTCTGGATTTCGGCTCAGGTCATGAGCTCATTTGTCAGTTCGAGCCCCATATCAGGCTCTGCACTGACAGTGTGGAGCCTGCTTGGGATTCTCTCTCTCCCTCTCTCAAAATAAATAACTAAGCTTAAAAAAAAACAAACAAAAAAAAAAACCAAGATGGAGTGAGATTTCTTAAAAAAAAAAAAAGAGTCTGCATTAAATATGAACTGATAACTTGAATCTAAGCACATCTCCAGGTCTAACTATCAGTTTATAGGAAATACAGGGGCTGGAAGAATGTGTTCAATGAGACTGTAGGGACACAATCAGAAAAATCCAGAATATGGGACACTATGAAGGGCAAATGCCCATTGCTTTACTAAACACATTTCAAGAAAAAAGGCAGTGAGGGGAACCTGTAGATTTAAGAAGTCCTAAGAAACATATCTGCCAGATCTGAGTTCAGGGTCGGACTGGATCCAATCTAAACTGGCCTGGGTCCAGCATGAGGCCTTGGGTGAATAAAATGTTGTTTTAAGGAGGAACAAACAGGTTGACCTTACCAAAGACAATCTTGAAATACAGTGGCCCATAGTGGAGAACTTTTAACCTAGATAAGCTTGTCCATTTATGAGGTATCCCAGAGAAAAAGGGGTCTCAGCCAACCATTGACCATAAAAGGGGGAGGGAAAATGATTTTTCCTGCTCTACAGTTTCCAGTGACCAGGATATGACCTGCTGGGACACCCCACTCGCTCCAGAG